ATTCCATCTACCACAAGTATATTCTTTCATTCATTGATTGGAATTTAGTTATTTTATACGAATTTTATGTGCTTTCAGAAAATCCAGTCAAGTTGATATTTTCCCTGAGTTTAATTTGGTTTTGCTGTCCTTCTGATTTCTGAGAAACAGAACTAGAAATGTTTTAGGTTGTGTTCACTATAACCTTCATTCCGTATATGTTACTGTTAGTATTTAACTGTTTAATTAGCTATCAAAGTTTATGGCTTTACTTGTTTAATGTGCTAGTCTTTTGTATCTAACATACCTACAGATACTGCTTTGTGTGTATGCTGTGTTTGTGTGTTTATGGTTAAATCTAGTATTTAAAAGTTTTAGAAACCATGGATTGATAATGAAATAGCTTGTATCTTTTTAAATTTATTACCAGTTTTTATTATGTTTAAACACATTGATCATGAGTCCAACTGTAGCCTCACTATTGTAAGTTATGTGTTGTCCAGCATAGAGACATGTATAAAACATAGTTCCTGCTCTCAAAGAACTTTCCTGGTAGGAAAATTGTGTAGCAAATCCTTATATAAAACAAAAATTAATTTAATGTGCAAGGTTAAGATTATTTTGATTCACATATTTAAGTTCCTATGTATTGTGAGTTCTTCAGAGTACTTCACAATACTGCTTTATGTTTGATTTGCTGCTCTTAGTCCAAAGCATGAAGGGACAGTAATGTGCCTCCCACCCCCCACCCATATTCACTGGGGATATGTTCTAAGACCCCCCCCAATGGATGACTGAAACTGCAGATAACACCAAACTCTGTAAATTCTGGGGGTTTTTTTTCTATACATATATACGAATGATAAAGTTTAATTTACAAATTAGGCATAGTACTCTTGCGCTTTACAGCTATTATTAAGTAAAATAAGGGCACAAGCACTGTGCTACCACAACAGTCAGTCTGTAACCCACACAGCTACTAAGTGATTAATGGGCAGTTGTCATCTGTAGCGTGGATATGCTGTACAAAGGGAGGATTCACTTTGTTCTGTGAGAGATTTTGTCATGTTACTCAGAATGCTATGTAATTTAAAACTTATGAATTGTTTATTTCTGGAATTTTTCATGTAATATTTCCAGACTGTGGTTGACTGAGGTTAACTGAAACCCCACAGACAGCAAAAACGTGGATGGGGGTGAGGAAGAAGTATTGTATGACTGTGTTTTTCCCCCCCACATAAACTTTATATTATTTTAAGTCCCTTATCATCAAATATCCAGTTTTAAAGAGAAAAATAGATTAAATATCTTATTTTGTTCACTACTCTCACGGTCCCAGTTGGGAATGAAAGTATCATGAGGTCAGGGATGTTCTCTCTAGTCAGCACCTAAACATAGTGCTTGGCACATGATATGCTGAAGCAAAATCATTTCATGTCAAATGAAATCACATTTAAGGTGATTATTCTCTCCAAAGATAGGATTTGGGACTTGTTTTCATTTTTGTGGATAAAATAATTGAAGTAGAGAATTGGGAAACTCGTATTGCCTCTCTTTGGCACAACCTTAACCAAGGAAATTTTGATTTTATAAATCAAAAGATTTGTAGCTTTTTTCAATACAAACAGAGTTTACTCATTAGCTATATTCTCTAGTAGTTTTTAACCTTTTTGTTAAACTGTTTGAGAATATTATGAAAGAAGTAGACTCTCCCCAGTAAAATGTAAGACTGTAAATTTTACATGTAATTTAAGGTGATTCATATATTTTGAGTATGCAGTTCACCTGTTTAAAGTATATAATATGGCCTGGGCGTGGTGGCTCACACCTGTAATGTCAGCTCTTTGGGAGGCCAACGCAGGCGGATCACAAGGTCAGGAGTTCGAGACCAACCTGGCCAGCATGATGAAACACCGTCTATACTAAAAATACAAAATTAGCCGGTGCATGGTGCCAGGCGCCTGTAATCCCAGTTACTCGGGAGGCTGAGACAGGAGAATTGCTTGAGTCCAAGAGGCGGAGGTTGTAGTGAGCCAAGATGGCGCCACTGCACTCCAGCACTCCAGCCTGGGTGACAGAGTGAGACTCCATCTCAAAAACAAACTCTGTGTGTGTGTGTGTGTGTGTGTGTGTGTGTGTGTGTGTGTATGTATACACACACATATGTATATAATATGATAGTATTCAATATATTCAGAGTTGTGAAGCCATCACTACAATAAATTTTAAAACATTTTTGTCATCCCAAAAAGAAACCCTATATTCATTTTGAGTTCATTCTCCATTTCACACCAATTCCTCTTTTCTTCTTCTCCCCCTACTCTAATCAACCACTAATTTACTTTGTCTCTATAGATTTTTCTATTCTTGACATTTTGTATAAATGGAATCATATACTATGTGGTCTTATGTCAGTGGCTTCTTTCATTTATAATGTTTTCAAGGTTCATGCGTGTTATACCTTGTATCACTATTTCATTCTTTTTTATGACCAAATAATATTCCATTGTATTTTAGTTATTTGTGTGTCAGTTGATGAATATTTGGGTTATTTCTTCTTTTGGCCATTATGAATAATGCTTCTATGAGCATTCACACAAGTTTTTGAGTGGACATATATTTTCATTTCTCTTGTGTCTCCACCATACCTAGGAGTGGAATTTCTGGCTTACAGTAATTCTATGTTGAACCTTGGAGAACTACTACTAGACTGTTTTCCAAAGGAGCCATAGCAATTTATGTTCCTCCAGCAGTGTGTGAGGGTTCCAATTTCTACATACCACACTTATTATCATCTATCTTTTTTATTATAACCATCCTAGTAGGCATGAAATATTCTTGTGGTTTTGATTTGTTTCCCTAATTATGTGGAGTGTCATTTTATGTACTTATAGACCATTTGTACATTTTCCTTTTAGAAATGTCCATTCACATCTGTTGCCTACTTTTGAATTATTTGTCTTTTTATTATTGACTTTGAAGAGTTTTTTTATTATCTGAAGTCTCATCAGATGTATGGAGGATTTGTTTTCTCCCATTCTGTCAGTTGTCTTTTCACTTTCTTGATGTTCTTTGCAACATGAAAGTTTTACTTCTTTTTTTCTTTTGTTGCTCGTGTTTTTGGTTTTCTATTTTATTTTATTTATTTTATTTTTTTGAGATGGACTCTCACTCTGTTGCCCAGGCTGGGGTGTAGTGGCGTGGTCTTGCTCACTGCAGCCTCGGACTCCTGGGTTCAAGTGATAGGCCTGCCTCAGCCTCCCTAGTAGCTGAGATTACAGGCATGAGCCACCACAACTGGCTGATTTTTGTATTTTTAGTAGAGACGAGGTTTCACCATGTTGGCCAGCCTGGTCTTGAGCTCCTGACCTCAAGCAATCTGCCTGCCTCGGCCTCCCAAAGTGCTAGGATTATAGGCGTGAGCCACCGTGCCTGGCTGTCAGTTTTATTTCTAAGAAGACTTTGCCTAGCCATAGGTCACAAAGATTTAATCCTACATTTTCTTCTGAGTGTTTTATAGTTCTAGCTGTTACATTTAGATATCTGATCTATTTTAAAGTAACTTTTGTGTAGATGTGAAGGAGTCAACTTTGTTCTTTTGCACATGGGATATTCAGTTATCCCAAACTATTTGTTGGAAAGACTATTCTTACCTTGGTTGAATTGTGTTAGCATCCCCTAAGGCCCACTCTTAGACCTTCCTGTAGGTCCATGCACCCAGCTCTAAAAAAGGTACCGAGTTTGTTAGAAGTCAGTTGGGATACCAGAAAAATTAAAGGGGAGCCACACTGGTTTTTAAGTAGAACCTTAATTAAATTCTTCCTATTACCCTAGATTATGTATTGCTGTATAACAAATTACCCCTCAACTCAGTGGCCTATAACAAAATCTTCTGTGGGTCTTGAATTTGAGAGACTTAGCTTATGTAATCGTGGCTTCGGGTCGCTCATGAAGTTATAGTCAGGATGCCATTTGGGGCCACAGTCAAATTAAGGCTTGGCTGAGGATGGAGGATCTGCTTCTAAGATGGCTCAATCACATGGCTGTACAGAAAGCTTTAGCTCCTTGTCACGAGACCTGCCTTCTCCATAGGGATCCTTGAAAGTGTCTTCATGATGTGGCAGCTAGCTCTTCCGCAGAACTAATGATAAGAGAGTAAAGAGGAAACCAAAGTGCTTTTATAACCTGTTGGCCGTTACACATTGTCTCTTCTACCCTATTCTTTTCATTAGAAATGAGTCACAAAGTTGACCCCAAGGTGCTGGGGGATTAGGCAGCACTTTTTCAACGAAATATCAAAGAATTTGTAAATTTGTTTTTTTCACTTTAATAGAGACAGAATCTTGCTCTGTCACCCAGTCATATTTCGTTGCAGCCTTGATCTCTTGGGCTCAAGCTGTCTTCTCACTTCAGCCTCCTGCGTAGCTGGGACTACAGGTGCCACCCTGCCTGGCTAATTTTTATTTTTATATATTTTTTAGAGACAGGATCTCACTGTGTTGCCAGTGCTGGTCTTGAAACCTTGACCTTAGGCCATACTCCATCCTCCAGCTTCCCAAGTAGCTGGGATTACAGGTGTGAGCCACTGTACTCAGCTGTGGACATACTTTAAACCACCACATGTTCTTGTCAGTTTTATTCGAAGTAAAGTCTAATTCTAACAGCTAATGGGCCTTCATATTAGATGCTCACTTACTACTTAATAAAATGATCTCCGAGTCATTTTTTTTTTCTTTCTTCCCCTGTGTTCTTGATTCTTCCAATCTAACCAGACTTAGTGTATTTTAGGATCAAAACAAAGTGGAGGAGCATATATGTGTGTATATATATGTACATATATATGTATACATATTTGTATATACACACACACCCATATATATCAGAAATGTTACATAAACAAATATGACAGAGAAATAACATGATTTCTAAATTGAAGTAAGTATAAGAAAATTTTCTAAATTGAAATAAGTATAAGAAAATTTTACTGACTAAATTTTCACAGTCGTTTTTCCAATTCCTAGGAAGGAACACACAAGTAGTTATCTTTCAGGCTGTCTTTGAATACTTCCATGACCCTGAACACTAACTGAGGAGAGTTTCAACCACTGCTAACAGTAAGAAACATTTTCAAGTTAGTCATTACCTTTGTAGTAAGATCATATGAACCTATTTTAATACTTTGTAACCTTGGTTCCTCCTGCAAACTGTTTTGTAGGTAATGACTTTACATGAGTTTGGAACTGGTCTCTAGTGGGAAGTTGTGGGAGGATGAACACAGAAGAGCTGGAGTTATTGAGTGACTCCAAATACAGAAACTATGTAGCCGCAATTGACAAAGCACTAAAGAATTTTGAATACTCCAGTGAATGGGCAGATTTGATATCAGCACTTGGAAAACTTAATAAGGTATGTCTGTATTATCCATTTCATAAAAGGAGTAAAAATTAGAAATCTGTGTTTGTACTTGTTAGATTTCTCTAAATCTTGAAGTAAGAATGCAAAATCATAAATGAACCTTAGATTACTATTGGTAGTGCTGTTTTTCTTCATGAGTTGCATGCCTGTGTAGTCAAGCATATTGTTAAGACTTTGGAAGTTTTAATTCAAAGAAATAACAGTGCTTGAAAAATATGTAGTTATCGCCATGATTATTAGCTATAAAAACAAAAGAAAAGGAAGCAAATATGCTATGAGGGCTAGTAAATTTCCATAATGGAGCATCAGATATGGTGCTGGAATTCCTGGCAGCAAAATGAATTTCCTACAAATGGAAAGCAGTAATTCCTGTGTTCTTTCCAAATGGTATATAGCAGAAGGAAACATTTTCTATCCTGGCAAGCTATAGTTATAATTCGGTACTTCTTACAAAGGCAATTATATACAAGCAGTTGCTTATGCCTTGCAGCTTGTCCTTGAGTAATTCTTCTTGACATGTCTGGTTTTTATTCCGTTATTGTTGTGGCATCATTGATCAACTTCTGGCTCTTCATTTTGACCTTTTTATTTTTTAAACATCAATTTTTTTCACCACATACCCATAGTTAAGGTTTTTTTTGTTTGTTTTTTTTTTTAATTGTTATTGAATGAGAGTGCTTCTAAATATTAAAGGGCTTAGATAGGAAAGGAGTGGTCTTCCAAAAACTATTTTCTATTTTATTTGAGATAAGGTTTTACTCTTTCACCCAGGCTGAAGTCCAGTGGCATGATCATAGCTCATTGCAGACTCCTGGGCTCAAGGGATCCTCCCACCTCAGCCTTCTCAGTAGGTGGGACTGCAGGCATGCCACCATGCCTGGCTAGTTATTATTTTTGTTTTTTTAGAGACAGGATCTCGCTATGTTGATGAAGGTGGTCTTGAACTCTTGGCCTCAAGTGATCCTCCCACCTCAGCCTCCCAAAGTGCTGGAATTACAGGCATTAGCCACCACACCCAGCCTATCAAATAGCTTAACATACAAATTAGGAAAGAAATTTGTCTTAAAATACATACTAAGATGTGTGGGGAAAAGAATACATATTGTTTTGCCTCTGCTTTCACACCACAACAATCAATGCAGAAGACTTCTATAACCCTAAAACAAGTGATTATTTCTCCCTTACCAGCAAGCAAGCAGTTCTATAGTGGATACCAACTGGATGTGCTGCAGTTCAATTTGGACACTATCTACCTGGAGATAGTATCAGATCCCACAGGTTGAGGGCTGAGCCTCATAAGACTGTTCCCCTCTTTTGATGCCAATCACAAGCCCCAGTTTGTTTTACCTGTGCTTCTGATCAACTGGCTATAAAGTTCCACAATCCTTTCTTTAGGTTTAATTTGCTAGAGTGACTCACAGAACTTAAGGTACTGGTTCATTATAAAAGACATTACAAAGGATACAAGTGAAGAGATGCATAGGGTGAGGTCTGGGTGAAGGGATGTAGAACCTTCATGCCTTCTCCAGAAGCACCACCCTCCAGGAACCTCCACTTGTGTTCAGCTGGCCCGGATGCTCTCTAATCATCCTTTTGGGCCTTTTGAGACTTCATTGGATAGGCATGATTGAAGCATGAACAGCTGTGCAGAAATGTGTTAGGACATAAAATATTTGATCCAATACTAACAGACAAAGTGGGGGAACCCAGCAAGACCCGTCTGTCAGATTTTTCTTGGCCTCTCTGTACAGCATTCGTTCCTTCTGGGTATGGGGCAGGACCCCTTCTGAAATGGAGGTCTTTGACCTACAATGAGACCAAGTAGTCCAGAGAATTTTGTTACGGCCAGCTCTGAGATAGAAAGGTAGAGGAAGATTCCTGCCTTAGGGAGAAAAAGATGAGCAGAGGGCAGGAAAAAGAGAGAAATTGTTTTTTGAGGCCTGCTTCTGAGGCCCAAAGTTCCCCAATATTATAATAAGGGCTGTGGGAGTTATGAGCCAGGAACCATGGATGAAAACCTAGACACACTCTCACTCACAGTACCACACCAGGATGCTAGTTTTCAACCTGATATGACAGATAATCACTTTGATATCATAAAAAGAAAAATAATCATTTTCAGTATGTCAAGGTTTTGTCTTAAAATTTGATGCAGAAGCTTCTGTTTGACATGTTAGAACTTCTAACATTTATCATTTGAAGTTTGAATAATTCTTTATTTCTTTACAACATCCACAAGAAATTTCATCTAAAAGTACAAGTTTGCTTAAAGGTAGTTAAGTTCTTTTTTTTCTAAAGGGTTCTGAAGAGTCTGTTTCTGAAGATATAGTGGGAACTCTTTTTAAAGGCAGGTCATTAAATGATGGAAATTAATTTGCCTAACTAGGTACATAATTTTTAGATTAATCAATATTCATGAAAATAGATTTCATGGTATCTAGATAACTCAAAGAAGAATACCCAAGTTGTCGATGAAACTTAGCCAAAATTGTGATGGAACAAGACAAGGATTACGTGTGTGTGTGTGTATATATACTCTCATATATACATATATATATACACTCATATATACATATATACTCATATATATACATACATACACACACACACATATATATACACACACACACACACTTATACTGCGTTTGGTCATTTCATATATTATGGCAAAAAAAAATCCAGTTACTTTTGCACCAACCTAATATTTCAACCTGTTTATTCCTCTGTAAAATAAGACTTTCTATATTTCTTCTAAATTCCAGTTCTAATATAGTCTATTCATTCTGAGTCTTCACTTTGTGACGTTCTATCAATACTTGATTATAATACTGAATTCTAGGTTCAAACTAAAGGATTACATTTATTATAAGATCTTCTTTACATAACTAATCTCCTTTGAGTGGTTGATAAGATGGGATCTGTGTACAGAAATTCTGCCCTGACCATTATTTCTAAGGAAATGTTATGGTTGAAATAAATAAAGCAAAAGTTGCTTTGTCCAGTTAGAAAAATCAGTTTATAAAAACAAATGGGCAATGATAATCTCATGTAGATTTTCTTATAAACATTAGAATTACTTACTATAATTTGATATACTGGGACAATGGTTATACCTCTTCCAAGTAACTGTAAATATCTATTGTGAGGCCAGACTTTATTTCAAAGTAGTAAAAATAGGTTGAAGGCTGTAACATTCCATGTTCCAGCTGTCTTCTCACATCAAATATTGAAAATTTACCAAAAAAAATCTAAAATGCCTCTCTTCTCCATAAATTTGTTTTGGAAATTATCATTTTTCATTAAAAATGTTATTCTGTTAACAGGTAACAAGTTTATTTTTTAAACAAATTAATAAAGTTTGTTACATTTCCTCAGTTTTAACTTTAAATATGGTGTATGTAGGCAAATGTAGCTAACAAAACACAAAGATCTACAATTAACATTTTTTATAATACTATGCTAGAAAATGGAAGTAAAATGAATGTAATATTTTGCTTTTCTCAACTACATTAAAATGCTTTCTTCAAGGTTTTACAGAATAATGCAAAGTACCAAGTAGTACCCAAAAAGCTGACCATAGGCAAACGCCTAGCTCAATGTCTACATCCAGCATTACCAGGTGGAGTTCATCGGAAGGCACTTGAAACATATGAAATTATCTTCAAAATAATTGGACCTAAGCGACTTGCCAAAGATCTTTTTTTATATAGGTAAGAATAATTTTACTCTCTCTATATATACACAAATAATATAAAGAAAATTTATTGCTAAACTATTTTATACTTACTAAAAACTACAAAATTGAAAATTCCCTAATGATTAGAAGTTTTCAGATATCACTCTTTGTTTTGTGTTTTTTTGAGACGGAGTCTTGCTCTGTCACCCAGGCTGGAGTGCAGTGGCAGGATCTTGGCTCACTGCAAGCTCCGCCTCCCGGGTTCACGCCATTCTCCTGCCTCAGCCTCCCCAGCAGCTGGGACTACAGGCGCACGCTGCCACGCCTGGCTAATTTTTTTGTATTTTTAGTAGAGACAGGGTTTCACCGTGTTAGCCAGGATGGTCTCGATCTCCTGACCTCGTGATCTGCCCGCCTTGGCCTCCCAAAGTGCTGGGATTACAGGCGTGAGCCACCACGCCTGGCCTCAAATATCGATCTTAATATTTGAGTTAAGTGATTCAGAAAAATGTAGAACAGTCTTTAATATTAGTCTTTTTGTTTTTTATTCTTAGATACCATTTATTAAAAGTTTTCCTTCAAAGTTGTTGAGACTATAGTACATTCTACCTTTTTAAGCTTGAAAACTGGCCTGAGAAAAAGATAGGATACCTTGATCTCTCAGCAACTTTCAACATCATTGACTCTTCTCCGCTTAAAACAGTCTTTTCCTTTGGCTTTCATCGTACCACATTTTTCTGTTCAGTTACTCTTTCTCAGTGTCCTTTACCAGTCTTTCCTCCTTTACCCAAACTCCACACAGAGTTTCTTAGGGCTCATTTAGTGCAGCACCTTCTTGTATTTTCACTTTGTAATCTCTCGTTAGGCAAACTTAGCCATACCCATGATTTATTTTTTATTTTAAATTTTACTGTGTACATTTAAGATATACAACATGATGTGAGATACCTACAGATAATGAAACAATTACTATAGATAAACTAATGTAGCCATCATCTTACATAATTATCTATTTTTTGTGTATGTGACGGGGGCAGTTAAAATCTATTCATTTAGTAAAAATCCCAAATAAAATATTATTAATTATAGTCTTCATGTTGTACATTAGATCCCTAGATTTGTTCATGTGACATTTCCCATTTTCTCCTGCCCGTGGTAACAACTGTTTTATCTTCTATATGCTGACTCCCAACTGGACATTTCCAGTGCTGGCAGCAGCTTTAAACTCCTGTTTGCTTGACATCTCCATATAGATCTTGAAAGGCAACTAAAGTTCAACCTGTTTAAAACTAAACTTTCCTCTTCTCCTATTAACCTGACCTTCCTGCAATGTACTATATTAAAGCTCAATAAATGGTATCACCATCTATCGATTTATACAACCCTCAGATCCGAGAGCCACACTTGTTACCTTGTTTTCCCCACCCACGTTTTCCCACCTCTGGTGTACATAGTCTGTTGTTCAGAGTTATGTCTCATGGTGGTTAAGAGAAGAGATGGTAGAGTCAAACTAGCTCTGTTATCTTTGGCCTTTGTCCTCACCTGTTTGTGTTTGTGTCCTCACTTGCACAACAGAAATAAGATTATCAACCTCATAGGGTGGTTAATGGAATTGAAAGACTTCATACATGTAAAATGCAATGGGCAACTTATAGTAAGTTCTTAATACGTGTTAGCTACTATTCTGATATATGTCTCAAATACGTCTACTTCCCTGAACCTTCACTGGCAGCATGCAGTCAAAACATCGTCTCTAGCTTGGGCTTCATCACTGACCTAACATTCATCCACCATCTGTTCTTATCCTCTTCTACCCTGTTCTCCACATAGTACTAGTGTAATCTTTTTAATATATTAAATAATGTTACTCTCTTGCTAAAAAGCTCTATTGACTTCTTCTCAGCACACTTAAGAAAAAAAATAAGAAAAAGGCTTTAATATGGCTTTGAATAATTCCTGAAGTACTGTGACCCTGGCTCTGTCAGTGACCGCAACTCTTAATAAACTAAAACTAAACTATTATTATTTTCCCCCCAATTTATTCCACTCAGGTCAACAGGTCTCTTTGCTTATTATTCCTCGTTTTCTTTGCTATTCTTTTGATCTGTAATTCTCAAATCCAGGTCTCTGATGAGATATCAGCTCCTCAGAGGACTTGCTTAGTTATTATCTGAAATGGTCCTTCTTCCACATTTTTATCCCTAGTATTCTGTTCCATTGTGATATGTTTTTAGGTAGGTTTTTAAATTATTATTATTTATTCTGTTGGTATTTGTTGGACTTCAAAAAAATCTATAAATTGGATAAAAAGGAATGAAATAATGGCATTCACAGCAACCTGAATGGAATTGGAGACCATTGTTCTAAATGAAGTAACTCAGGAATGGAAAAACAAACATCGTATTTTCTCACTCATAAGTGGGAGCTAAGCTATGAGGATGCAAAGGCATAGAATGATACAGTGAACTTTGGGGACCTAGGAGAAAGGGTGTAACAGGGTGAGTGGTAATAGACTACACTTTGCGTACAGTATACACTGCTTGGGTGATGGGTGCACCAAAATCTCAGAAATCGCCACTAAAGAACTTATTCATGTAACCAAACACCACCTTTTCCTCAAAAAACCATTAAAAATTTTTTTTAATTGATGAATTGATGCCTTTCACCCATTTTGGAAAATTTGCAACTACTATCTTTTGAGATTACCTTCACATCTGTTCTCTCCCCACTTATTAGGTCTTCCCACCATGGCTTCTCCATCTCTTAACCATTCTTCATATTTTCTAACTTTTTGTCCTTCTGTGCTGCATTCTCAGGAATTTCTTCTGACCTAGTTTCCAGGTCACTAATTCTGTCTGTCTCTTCTTTTTTTTAACCACTTAACTTTTCTTGTAAACTGTTGATATAATTTACATTCAATAAAATGAACAGATCATAAATGTTCAATGTGTGGTAAGTTTTGACAAATTTAGTCAATTTTGTAGCCACCATTCAAAATAAGATATAGAACATTCTTATCAATGCAGCAAGTTCCCTCCTACCCCTTTCTAGTGGAAACCCCTACTGTCCAACTATATGTATTTCCCTCATTCTGCAGCTTTTAAAACTTTCTAAATGGTATTTTTGAAGAACCAAAAGTTCTTTATGCTGTCTTTTGAAGAAAGTTTTTTTTAGTTGATTTATCAACCTTTTATTAAGTAGTCCTTTTTGCTTCTTATTTAAGGAATCTTTGCTTAGTATATTGCTGCTAGAATGTGGAAATATGAAGGTGTTTTTCTGTATTGACATTGTATTCAGAAACTTTGTCAAGTTCACTTGTTCTTTCTAATAGCTTTTGGAATTTTGAGATATAGTCACACTATCTGTGAATGGTGAGTTTTCTGATTTTAGTAATTTTATATCTTTTTTTGCCTTATTGTATTGACTAGGGTCTATAGTAGAGTGTTAGTAGGGTCAAGTTTATCTGTCTTATTTCTCATTTCAGGTAGAAAATGTTAAATATTTTTGAAGGTTCAATCAGCCTTTCATTTCTGGAATATATCCAGTTGGCTCATGATTTAGAGTCCTTTTTGTATCAGTGGATTTGCTTACTTTGTTTTTGTTTGTTTGTTTTGTAGTTTTACATCTTTGTTTAGTAGAGAATGGCTATGATTTTACATTTTTATCTAATTTTGGTTTCAGGTTTATGCTAAATTTCGTATTCTCTTATTCCGTTCTGTTCAACAGTTTTCATAACATTGGTGTAATTATTTAAGTTTTATCTGAAATTTATCTTTGTGGGAAGATTTGTAATTACAGATTAATTTCTTTAGTAGTTATGATACTATTCAAATCTATTTATGTCAGTTTTAGTAAGTTTTTTCTCTCAAAATTTGCCTGTTCTTACTAAATTTTTAGGTGCATCAGCCTAAAGTTCATAATATACTCTTATCTTTGTAACATGTAGGATCTATAGTGATGTCTCCTCTTTCACTTTTGATATTGGTGACTCAAGCCATCCTTTTTTTTTTTAATTGATCAGTCTTATCAGGAGTTTATCAATTTTGTTAGTCTTTTTAAAAACCAACTTTTAGTTTTACTGATCCTTCCTACTGTGTATGTGTTCACTCTCTCATTTTTACTCAGATAAGCCTTCTCTGACCACCCTATTTAGAACCTGCCTCTGCTCTAGTCTCCTTGTTATTCTCCTGTAACTTTTTCTCCTCTGCTTTAACATTTATCACCATCTGATATGTATGTATATGTTAAGAGATACAATAATCAAGCAATTAAAATATGTACATATATACTATCCAAAAAATAAGCTTTATGAGGTTAAAGAACAGAGATTTCTTACTGTGATTAAGTGCTCTATTCTCAGTATCCTGAGGAACTGACAGAGAGTAGACCCTTAATAAATATTTGTTTAATGAATAAAGAAATGCTATTTGTTATACTCAATTCTTTGATATTTCAAAATATTATTAAAGAGAAATGAGCAAGGAAATATTATTAAAGAGAAATGAACATGAATGTCTTTTTTTTTTTTTTTTTTTGAGACGGAGTCTCGCTCTGTCACCCAAGCTGGAGTGCAGTGGTGCAATCTTGTCTCACTGAAACCTCCGCCTCCCAGGTTCAAGCAATTATTCTTCCTCAGCCTCCCAAGTAACTAGGATTACAGGCGCATGCCACCACCGTAAAAAAATACCCAGCTAATTTTTGTATTTTCAGTAGAGACAGGGTTTCACTATGGTGGCCAGGCTGGTCTCGAACTCCTGACTTTGTGATCCTCCTGCCTTGGCCTCCCAAAGTGCTGGGATTACAGGCATGAGCCACTGCGCCCAGTCGAGCATGGATGTCTTAAAAATAGTATGTAAAGCCAGTAAAGGTATTTTTAATAGTAGTAAATAATACATTCAAAGAATGATGTTAAGAAAACTGAGCATTGCCAAATCAGTGTTGCATGTGATTATCTAATAATTGATAGATTTTCCTTTCTTAAAGCAAGATTTACATAATTCATGCCTGCTACTTTCTACCTCTTAACAGAAAGTTTAAGCAGCACAGTTATTCTTCATTTGTAGTATACCTATTTTTATCATTAGTATGTTACATAAAATTAAACCTAGAATACCATTTCTAAATATGGCAGATATTCTTGTATACATACACACACGTTATGGAGTAAATGATATCATTGTTCTATACTTTTTTGAAGTATAACTATTTTAAAAACTAAAGTTTATATTAAATGTAGATATGTTTATTTTTAATTAATGATTTTTTCTTTTCAAGGTTTACGGTTTAACATAATTAAATACAAATGCTTTTAAAGTTCTATAACCTATTACATGATGTAATATCATATTGCCTCTTCAAGCTTATTTCTTTTTAATGTGATACAGTGTACAAAGATGTTACTAAGAAGGCTAGAAGTGGAGTTTGAATGCCTTAAAATATTTAGATGGGTATGTAAAGTGAGCTTTTGGTAATACAAATCTGGATTGCAGATTAGACAGATACTATAAAGCAGTCAGCATTTAGGTGGCAGTTGAAGCCAAGAGAATAATTGAAATTACCTAGGTACATTGTAAATCACAAGGAGGAAAAAAGGAATGAGGACATTTTGAGAGTATTTAGGAGTCTCAGTATTTAAATATCAGGTTGGGGGAAGTAGCCTGTGAAAAAGAGTCAGAGATAGTGTACCAGGAGGCTGGGCTCAGCGGCTCACGCCTGTAAATCCCAGCACTCTGGGAGGCCGAGGTGAGTGGATTACCTGTGGTCAGGAGTTCAAGACCAGACTGCCCAACATGTCAAAACCTCATCTCAACTAAAAATATAAAATTAGCCGGGTGTGGTGGTGAGTGCCTGTAATACTACCTACTGGGGAGGCTGAGGCATGAGAATCACTTGAACTCGGGAGGTGGAGGTTTCAGTGAGCCAGTTGCACCACTGCACATCAGCATGGGCAGCAGAGTGAGACTCCGTCTAAGAAAAAAAAAAGCGAAAATGTACCAGGAGACAAAGCAGTCCTGGAAGTCAAGAAGGAAAGGTGCTTCAAGAGAATGCTCTGGTTAATAGTATCACATGTTAAATTAAATAGGATAAGGTCTGAAGATAGAGCATTGGATCTGGCAGTTGGTAGACATTGGTGACCAAAATGAGAACAGTTTCAGTGGAGGGAGTAGAAGTATCATGATTGATTAATGATGGAAGGTAATAAATAGAAGAAATTCACATATGTATTTTAATAATTGATAGAGAATGGTAGCTTTAAGACAGAAGGTTAGTTAGAATAAAGATTTTGGGGTTTGGTTATTACTGTTACTTTTTTCTTGTTTTAGAATTATGAGGAAATATGTGAGTACATTTGTATTAAAAAGCAAAGATGTCAGTTCAGGAAGAAAGAAATTACAGAAAAGAAAAACGATAATGGATGATGCAGGTCCCTGGACAGGCGGGTCATGGTCCTGGGCACATTGGAAAAAAGGTAGCCTGGAAGAGACTGAGAGACTATGGCTGTATCTTTAGATCAAACAGTACCTAAAATGACAGACAGAAGAGTGGAAAGCTGAAGCCATTTTTACTTGATGATTTCTATTTTTTATAAACTAGGAGCAAGAGAGATTCCTAATTCATTTGTTCTTCACTTGCTAAGTACAGGACATGGTGCTTGAAACTTAGGATACAGAAATAAAAATATAGTCATGGTCCTTTGTTTTCTGATATTTACAGTCTGTTGGAAAAGATAGACATTAAGCAATTCAAATAAAGAATGATAAGCGCGTTTTGGTAAGTAAATATTGTGTACTATGAGAACATCAAATAGGGGGCCTAACCTAGTCTAATTAGGAGATAGTCTCCCTAAGGAAATGGCTTCTTAGGCTGAGGCCTGAAAGTTTGGGAATCCCCCAAAGAGGGTATAAGTAAGGGAGTGAGAATTGTATCTGTCAGAGCAGCATATGGAAAGGTATGGGCACTAAAAAGAGCATAGAAGGTTCTGAAAGGAACTAGAAAGGAATTCTTCAGTATAGCTGGAGCAGAGGGTACAGGAGTAAAATTGGTGAGTATATATGGACTGTTTAGAGGTATGTAGTAGCCATTTTTTAAAAGATGTTAAAGGCCACATTGGCAATGGGAACTCATTGAAAAGTTTTACCGAGAGCTGCTTCAGGGCAATAATGAACCAATACATGTTAAAACATGAAGAGTAAGATACGATAGCAGCTGCTTCTAGGTAGCTATCTGGTGGAGATACAATTTGTTATATTCAAAAAATATCTAGGAGAGTGACTTGGAGAGAGAACTTGATGACCTTGATAACTGATTGCAGGTTAGAGTAGAAAATTATTATTTTTTTTTTAATTTTCGAATCCAGGGTCTGACTCTGTCACCCTGGCTGGAGTACAGTGTCATGATCACAGCTCATTGCAGCCTCTACCTCCCAGGTTCAAGCAGTCCTCTACTCTCAGCCTCCCGAGTAGCTGGGACTGCAGGCACATGCCACTGTGCCCAGCTAATTTTTATTTTTTGTAGAGATGAGGTCTCACTATGTTTCCTGAGCTAGTCTTAAACTCCTTTGCCTAAGCAGTCCTCCTACCTCAGCCTTCCAAAGTGCTTGGATTACAGGCATGAGCCAACTTCCCCAGCCAGGTTAGAGCAGAAGATTTTTAAAGCTACTCATGAGGCTGAGGCAGGAGGATTGCATGAGTCAAGGATCAGTTCTAGATTTATAGCTTTTGGTCAGCCAGATAGATAGTGATGCCATATTTGGACATGACAGTTATTACAGGGAAGGCACATGTTTTGCTGGGGCACATCAGGGGAGAATTCTGTTTTGGAATTGTGAAATATGAGGACTTTGTGAAACAGCTAGGTAGCTATTGGGTTTATAAGTATAAAACCCAGGTGAGAGAACTGGTCTGTTTTAATGGATGTAGTTATTAATATACAGGTATCATTTTAGGCCAATCAGTATAACTTTTTCATCAGAAATAAATAAAATATTTATACATATAATTGTGTATGAATTAATATTGTATAGTTATTTTGCTTCCCTCTCCTCGTCTTTTTTTTTTTTTTTTAAATAGTTCTGGATTATTTCCTCTTCTTGCAAATGCTGCCATGTCTGTGAAGCCAACATTGCTCAGTTTGTATGAGATATATTATCTGCCTTTGGGTAAAACACTGAAACCTGGTCTACAGGGATTGCTTACTGGTATTCTTCCTGGCTTAGAAGAAGGATCAGAGTACTATGAGAGGTAAGATCATATTTGGTGCAGTTATGTAATTGAAGTCATGGATTTGTCAGTAAGCATATTTAGGTAAAATATGTTTTAGCATCACGAATGAATTATTATAGACAGTTCAGTATATCACATGAATATTTCTATAGCAATGAAACATTATAGTTTAGTCTGTGTATCATACTGAAAATATAGCTAGTGGTAAAAGCATAGACTTCGGAGGTGGATGTACTGAGTTGAAGTCTTGCCTATACAGACACTGAGCTTAGGGAAGTTTTCTTAATGTCCGAACTTTGTTCAGTTTCCTCATCTTTAAAACAAACATAATATCCTTTTATTTGTGTTATTCTAATAGCAAATCACCTAGTCCTTTGCCAAGCACATATAAGTCACTCAAGAAAATTGTGACCCATAACTTAAAATAATATAACAGATAGGACATGTAGATTAGTGATGAGGATGGAAGATTAGTCTATGCACTAACAATTTTTAAGTTGCTAATGGGGAAAAATAGCTTAGTACCAGTGCAGTGCTGTTTCCTTAGTTGTTGACATGGTACTCTTGATACCTAACTGTTCAAATGAAGTTATTTGATCTGTTTGGACCCTATTATTATTTTTGGTGAGTTGATAATTGTAGGCAGTGCATGATGGCATTAAGTATCTCTAATATCTCATTACTAATATTCTTATTAAAACACTGAGTTGAAGTAGCAAAAATAGAAAATACCAAACTTACTTTATGAGTAGACATAATTATTTAAATATTCAAGTACATTGCCTAGTTACTGTTTTTTAGCTGCTCTCCTCATGCAGTAAGAATCTAATTCTTAATATATTGAATTACCTTTTTAAAGGCTCCTTGGAGAAAAAATAATTTTGTCCTCAAAGCTAATCAGTTGCTTTTATTAAGTTTTCTTTTTTTTTTTTTTTTTTTTTTTTTGAGACAGAGTCTCACTGTCACCCAGGCTGGAGTGCAGTGGCCTGATCTCAACTCACTGCAACCTCTGCCTCCCAGGTTCAAGCAATTCTCCTGTCTCAGCCTCCCAAGTAGCTGGGATTACAGGCACCTGCCACCATGACTGGCTAATTTTTATAGTTTTAGTAAAGACAGGGTTTCACCATCTTGGCCAGGCTGGTCTTGAACTCCTGACCTTGTGATCCACCCCCCCCTCGGCCTCCCAAAGTGCTGGGATTATAGGTGCAAGCCACTGCATCCGACCCTCTTTTATTTATTTTACTTTTTTACTTATTTGCCTACAGTTTCATAAATGTAATATGAAATTATTTCATTTAGCTTGGAAATCAGTTTTGTTTAAAATAGTTATTTTTCTCTTAAAGGAAGCATGGACTTGATACCACTTATAACTCTGCTAGTTACAATTAAAAATTTAACATAGAAATTGAATAATGATCCTTATAACTGTGGTATCCTATGATTTATCTTGTTAATGTTTTGCTAGGTATTCCATGTAAGTTTTATAAAAGAATTTGTAAATGTTATTCTTTTACCACATAGATAAATTGAGGCCAGAAGAAATTACAGTGTTAATATTAAGTAGCAAGTAAACAGTGTGACTCATCAAATTCTCTTCACTATGCTACAGTGTAATAGACTTTTATGTTACTGCATTGTTTATCTTATGTTAAAAATAAGAGTAATTTTTGTCAACTTTTATTTTGGATTCGGAGAGTACATGTGCAAGTTTATTACTTGGGTATATTGCATGACTCTGAGGTTTGGGGTTTGGATGATCCTTTCACCCAGGTAGTGAGCATAGTATTCAATAGGTAGTTTTTAGCCCACCCCCCCACTTCTTCCCTCTTCCCTCTTCTAAAAAGTAATCTTTAACTGTATTCCTTATTAAAGTGGTAAGGCATCTTTGATTTTTATCATAGATCTAATTCATTAAAGTTTTACACTTTATAGTGTGTGATTTCAAAAAGAAAGATTTGAAATGTCCTTTTAAGATTTTGTAGAAAGTCAACAGAACATCTCTTCTACTATAGGATTACTATTAACCAAAATGTATATGATATTTTATTACTTAGAGTACTTTAACAACCTAGTGAGGTAGATAGGTCTTGTGGTGGAGTGTTTTGTTGTTGTTGTTCTCTTCATTTTACAGATGAGGAGACTGAACTTTTAAGAACAATGAAGTGACTTCCTCAACATATGCAGCTAGTAAATGGTGGAGCCAGGACTTAAATTCAGTCCTCTGACTCTAAAGTATATTCTTCTTTCAGTCTTTCACACTTATTTCCAGGGTGGGACATATGACTATAACATGGATGTTTGCATACATTTTTGGAAAAGAACGATTTATTTTTTAAAATATGAGACTAAGTGTTTCCCTTCTTAAACCACTTTATTTATACCTCAGAACAAATACATTGTTGGAAAAGGTTGCTGCTGCTGTGGACCAGTCAGCATTCTACAGTGCCCTGTGGGGTAGTCTTCTCACCAGTCCTGCTGTGCGTTTACCTGGAATCACGTATGTTCTTGCCCATTTAAACAGGAAGCTTTCTATGGAAGATCAACTTTATATAATTGGCAGTGATATTGAGCTAATGGTAGGTCTAAAAATATGGTTGCTCATTTCGCAAATATTTCTTTAGAGCCAGACACTATTCCAGACATATATTGAGGATTGTATAATGAACAAAGTTCCTGTTTTCATCGAGCTTACATTTATCAAGGAAAATTAAAGGCCAAAATAATAATTATTGTTTTTAAAAGCTTAACTCCAGGCCTCAAGTGATCCTCTCACCTTGGCCTCATAGCCTTCTTTATAAGAAGTGAATTTTAGATAAAGTAATATAGCCAGATTCCGTATGGAATTTATGTGAGAAGATGTACTAAAACAGACAGTGAAAGATAATGGGAGGAAAAATCACATTTATTACTTACTTATACAGTATTTTTCTTTTTAATTTCAAGATTAACAAGAGAGGGCAAGCTTTGTATCTCTAGAGTGCTATACTCTTAATAAGAGCAAGGAATACAAAACCCTCAGGGATCATTTTGAAAAACAATTTGATCATAATTTACTTTTTCCCCATATGATTATGACATTACTGATATTTTAATGCATATTTCTGATTAGATTTATTGAAGTTAATTTATGTACACCAAAATTAGCCCTTCTTACACTGTAGAGTTACCTGAATTTTGGCAAGTACATAGAGTCATATAACCACTATTGCAATTAAGATACAGAATATTTACATCACCCTAAAAAGTCCTCTGTGCCTTTTTTTCAGTCACTCCCCTTCCTCTACACTCCCAGGCCCTTAGAAACACTGATCTGTTTACTGTTTCTATAGTTTTGTTTTTTCTAGAATGTTACATAAACCATACTGTATATAAGTGGACTCATTTTTTGTGTTCTTTAAATCCATGTTGGTCAGGCTGGCCTCAAACTCCTGACCTCAGGTGATCGACCCACCTCAGCCTCCCAAGGTGCTGGGATTACAGGCATGAGCCACTGCACCTGGCCTGTGTTCATATACCATTAATCAGCTGATGGACATTTGGGTTGTTTCTATATTTTTTGCCTGTGAAAAATAATGCCCGATTATGTATGAGTTTTAGTATGGACATGTATTTTTGTTTATTTCGGGTATACATCTAGTAGTGCCATTTCCAAGTTTTTTGGTAACTGTCGAACTTTTTGAAGAACTGGCAAACTTTTTTCCAAAGTGACTGTACCAATTTTTATTCCCACTTGCAGTATATGAAGGTTTCAGTTTCTCCACAGCATTGCCAACACTTGTTGTTGTCTTTTTTATCATAGTCCTCCCAGTGGGTATAAAGTGTTCTCATTGTCATTTTGAGTTGCATTTCCCTAATGACTAACAATGAACATCTTGTGGTTGGTTATTGGCTCTTTGTATATCTTCTTTGAATAAATTTCTATTCAAATCCTTTGCCCATCTTAAAAATTAGATTATTTGCCTCTTTGTTGTTGAATTGTAGGAGTTCCTTATATATTCTGGATATTAAACCCTTGTCATATATGATTTGAAAATATTTTCCCCCATTCTGTAGATTGTCTTCTAACATTCTTGATAGAGTCCCATGAAGCAAAAAAGTTTTAATTTTGATCAAGTCCAGTTCATCTAATTTTTTTTCTCTTGCTGCCTGTGCTTTTGATGTTATAGTTAGGAAACCATTATCTAATCCAAGGTACCAGAGATTTACTTTTTTCTTCAATGCGTAAGTTTATTAGAAACTGCCAAACTATTTTCCAAAATGGCTACACTTTTTAAATTCAGGTTTTAAAATATACTGTTAGATTTCTTTTTAATGATTTAATGGAAATTTTAAACAAATCATTTTTGACTTATTTAAACAAATGACACACATGGAAAAATACTTCCCAAATATCACAGTCAAAGGAGTATTCTTTCTAATATTCAAAGAACTGCTATAGACAAATTAAAACAAGTAGAAAATGGATTTGAACAGATAATTAACTTAAATAAAAATAATTCAAACATAAAGAGATGGTCAACATTGTAATAAAGAAATAAAAGTTTAAGCTACACCAAGCCAGTTTTCATGTCAGATGGGCAAAAATACAAAAAAAAAAAACAACATATATATATAGAGAGAGAGAGAGAGAGAGAGAGAGAGAGCTAAGCAAGCATGTGGAGAAACAAATTGTCATGTAAAACTGGTGGGAATATAAAGTGATAGAAGCCTAATATCAAGCATTATGCTGTGTATTTATTGACACAGTCTCACTTTGTCACACAGGATGGAGTGCAGTGGCACAATCTTGGCTCACTGCAACCTCCACCTCTAGGGTTCAAGTAAACTCCCTTGCCTCAGCCACCCGAGTGGCTGGGATTACAGGCATGCACCACCCCACCCAGCTAATTTTTGTATTTTTAGTAGAGACAGGGTTTCAACATGTTGGCCAGACTGATCTCCAACTCCTGACCAAGTGATCTACCCACCTCAGCCTCCCAAAGTGCTGGGATTACAGGGGTGAGCCACCATGCCTAACGGCATTATGTGTTTAAATTGTAACTGCACATACCCCAAGACCTGGCAATTCTATTTTGAGCAATTTATCTTACAGATGTATGTTATGTAAGTATTATATATTGTAACATTATTTACAATAGTGTTTAGAAATGTGTAAGTCCGCATGATTAGAAACTTAGTTAAATAAATTAGAGTTCATGTATGAAATAAAATTACTTTGGCCATTAAGAAATGAAGCTCTTTAATAATAAGGAAAGATCTCTAAAACATGTTAAATGAAAAAGGCAGGTTTGGAATATATGTATGGTGTTTTTCTTGTATTTGCAGGAAATATTCACTAGTAAAACTGTTGCCTACAAAACGGAAGTTGGATAGTTAGAAGTTGTGCTGTATAGTCTTATGTACTTCTTTATTTTTAAACCATCATGATATATTTACTATTCAAAATAATGTAAATATCTTTAATTATTGATTAGATCCTCAGAAGCATACTTTTGAGAAAATGAAGAGTTGTTACATTTTCATGGCAAAAAATTCTCAGCATAATAGACAATAGATTAAAGATGCTGTTATTTCAGGTAGAAGCAGTAAGTACTTCGGTGCAAGACTCAAGTGTACTTGTACAGAGAAGCACACTGGACCTCATACTCTTCTGTTTTCCTTTCCACATGAGTCAGGTAAAATATTAACGCTGATATTATTATAAGGCATTCTTGGAAAACTATAGATTGATAATGTGTAGTTATTTTTTTAAAGGCATGTGTGTTGAATTCTTGTATAAATGAGTAAGCGCGTAGAAAATAAGTTCCTTTTTAAGGAGTGGAATTTGTTGTGGAAAAAAAACCTAAAGATAAAAGCTTCACTTATTTGATAAGAATATGGTAATTGAAGTAGATTATTTCATACTTTTGAAAAAAGTTGTAACATATAAAAAGCAAGAGGTTCTCTATTGCTAACTCTGAGTAAGCCAAGACTGAGACCCAGGCCTTCTACCCAGCCATCATCTGTACTGATGTTATGTTATCTTGTTTTGGTGATTTTAATATGCATGCCAGATCCTTAGCAGAGTTGACTATAACTTAAGAGCCACATGTTTAGTCACTGTGATATTCTATAGTACTTTTATTACAAATAAGTGCAACTAACTTGACAAATCATAAACGAAGTTCATTCCTAGAACTTAATCAGTGCCCTCATTTTAAAAGAAATGATCTAAATTCCTTTGAGTTCTAAACCTTTATTTATTCCTAAAAAGGACTATTATTTGAGGTTTTCATAAGAGCTACGATGAATAGATAACTGTAGTGAATTTTCATTATGACTGGCCAATTTTTAATTCATTATTTTATTAACATTTTTCTTTTACTTTATTTAATTTGATATTGAAATATTAGTAACTAAATAATTCTACAGTTCATTGTCTATACTTTCACTAATTGGAACATAAACCACTCTGTTTCTATTTTGAGACTTTCACCCTTCAACCAAGGGACTTTATTCTGCCCTCTGGCTTTTCACAAAAACAACTATTGAGTCATCTTAGCATAATCTAAATTCAGCGATGCTCTAATATAGGGGTGGCCAAACAGCCCAAAACTTAAGAAAGGTTTTTGCTTTTTTAAAGGCTTAGAAAACAAAGAAGAATATGGCAAAGCAATGTATGTTATCTGAAAGTCTAAAATATGTACTGTCTGGATCTTTATCCAAAAAATTTATTGACTTTCACTCTTGAACTTTTCCCGTTGCTTTCTTACCTTTCAGGCATTCAACATCATTAGTCCCTCAATTGACAGATGTCTCAACAAGATCTGAGTAATTAAGTCATAGTAGACTCAAGAGTAACTTAATTTGTAATCTTAACATATCAATGTTTCCTAAGCTTTTCTCAGCCTGTACTTTCTTACTCTGCCTTCTCTGTAATCCTGTCAGCCAAAATGTTCTAGATTCTTACATTCTCTAATAGGTATTATGAAAACAATAGCTTCGTTGAATGTTTTTTAAAAGTATACACCCAATTCTAATAATCTTATAATTATAATACTTTTCTCCCCACTACTCTACCCAATTCTAATACAGTTCTCCCTCTAACTGTATCAAACTGAATAAGAATTATGATGTAGGTACCTTAGTGTTCCACTTTCCCTCTTTCTATGTCTTACATATAATAGAATATAATCCGAGTATGGATTTTATTATAATTGTGACTTAACAGTGCCTTCATTACCATATCCCAAAAGGATGATTGCTGTTGGGAACTTCAGCAGTGAGATGGACTGCTACACTTCTTTGTTTCCTGGAAAGCTCACCCAAATCTGTAGTACTTACACCTTTGAAATTATAATAGACTTTTTTTCATATTAGAAATAGATGGTGATATCAGTTGTAATCAAGAAGTAACTTCTTTTTTTTAATTTAGTTTTTAATGGACACAAATTGTATATATTTATCCTGTACAACATGATGTTTGACATATGTATACATTCTGGAATCTGTAAATTGAGCTAATTAACATTCATTACCTCACACACATTTTTACAGTGAGAACACTTAAAATGTACTCTGAGCAGTTTTTAAGAATACAATACATTGTGGCCAGGCGCGGTGGCTCACGCCTATAATCCCAGCACTTTGGGAGGCCGAGGTGGGTGGATCGTGAGGTCAGGAGATCAGACCATCCTGGCTAACACGGTGAAACCCCATCTCTACTAAATATACAAAAAAAATTAGCCAGGCGTGGTGGCTGGCGCCTGTAGTCCCAGCTACTCGGGATGCTGAGGCAGGAGAATGGCATGAACCTGGGAGGCAGAGCTTGCAGTGAGCCGAGAACGCCCCACTGCACTCCAGCCTGAGTGACAGAGCAAGACTCCGTCTCACAAAAAAAAAAAATATATATATATATATATATATACAATACATTGCTAACAACTATAGTTACCATGTTGTACCGTAGATCTTTTTGAACTTATTTTTGCCATCTGAAATTTTTTATCCTTTGACTAACATCTTCTACTTCCTGCTTTCTTAAGAAGAGTAGTTTTTCTCCCAAAATAAGATGGGGAGACATTTGTACTTTTAAAGATTTTGTGACAATATAATCTTCATATCTTATGTTGGATAGATCAGAAGTTCTCAAATGCTTTAGTTGTAGAACCCCATTACACTCTTTAAAGGTACTGAAGGTCCTCAAAAATCTTTTGCTTGTATTACGGTTAGCTTGTCTATTGTGATTTGTTCTTTTGGTTAAAGTATGTGAAGAAAATCTGATCTCACATTGATATGTAGTTGGAAAATCGAGGAGTATTTCAGTAGCATTTTCTGTTAAAATTACATATTCTTTGATATTATATGAAAACTTTGAAGCTATAGATTTTAAAAATTAGTTACAATATTGAGTCTTAAACTATATCAATGAACTTTTCATATTCTATTCCATTAAAATCCACTGGTCTATCTTGTACTTTCAGTGGATCTTTCAGTCATATGTGCTTTTGTAACATCATGATTGGATATTAAGGAAATACTGGCTTATTGAATTATGCAGATTTTCCAAATGTTTTCACATTTTATTATACAAGATTAATCATGTTTATTACTGTTGCCACTGATCTCATCAGTAAAGATTTTTAGATATTGGGAGAAACTTTTAATCTCAGTATTGAGAAGCTTTCAACCAATTCAAATCAAAACAATACAATTTCAGTCACATGCAGTGGCTCACACCTGTAATCCCAGCGCTTTGGGAGGCCTAGGCAAGCAGATCACTTGAGGTCAGGAGTTCAAGACCAGCCTGGCCAACATGGTGAAACCCCATGCTCTAATAAAAATACAAAAATTAGCTAGACATGGTGGCACATGCCTGTAACCCCAGCTACTTGGGAGGCTGAGGTAGGAGAATCGCTTGAACCTGGAAGGCAGAGGTTGCAGTGAGCCGAGATTGCGACACTGCACTCCTGCCTGGACTATAGAGCGAGACTCCATTTCAAAAAAAAAAAAAAAACCAAAAATACAGTTTCAGTCTAAATGCAAGTTTTCTATAATTCTGCTTTTCTCTTAGAAGCTCAACTTTTATTATTTGTCATGATTAATATTGTCCTTGCAATGACTGACAGGCTTTGAGAAAATGACTACAAAATGTCCAAGCCTGAATAATCATAGTTCGTATTAGAAATTCTTCAGGTAAAAATGGCATTCTTTGAAAAAACTGGCAGTTTAGCTCACAACTCAGTTATACGATTGCTTTTCCTTGAGACAACCATCATACTTCAGTATACATCAGAAGTACATTTAGTACTTTTGTTTTTTTTTTGAGATGGAGTCTTGCTTTGTCACCCAGGCTGGAGTGCAATGACGCTATCTTAGCTCACTGCAACCTCCGCCTCCCAGGTTCGAGTGATTCTCCTGCCTTAGCCTCCTGAGTAGCTGGGACTACAGGTGCCAACCACCATACCCAGCTAATTTTTTATAATTTTAATAGAGATGAGGTGTCACCACATTAGCCAGGATGGTCTCGATCTCCTGACCTTGTGATCCACCTGCCTTGGCCTCCAAAAGTGCTGGGATTACAGGTATGAGTCACTGTGCCCGGCCACATCAGAAATACTTTAAGTGTATCTTTCACTCTATTATACAGAATATTAAAAGACATGCACTCAAGGGTTGATATTATTTTTTGATTTTACTACAAGTACATAGCAGTAAAAGTATAATGATTACAAGTATAGTGGGTGCTACTGCTATACTGCCTCTTTTCATGCTAAGGTGCCAGCAGTTTTATCCACTATTGCATGATCAGGGCATATGTCAACAGAACAAAAAGCCCTATAACATCTTAGTATTGTTATGAATATGCATAGTTTTGTTATGAATATGAATAGCTAGTTTTTACTTTATGGACCCCCTGAAAAAGTCTTAGAGATACCTAGGGGTCTTGAACCATACTTTCAGAATTGTACAGATCAATAGAAGACATTTGTGTTCAAAGGCGTGAACCTAATCTGTCAGTCGTTGGTGATCTGTGTTCTGTATCATCTCAGTTATTTCTCTAAGGTTCCTTTAAAACAAATGAGCTGGGTGAATCCTTTCTAATTCTATCAGAAGCATGGTAATAAGATAAAGTTCACTGGTCTGTGATTAAGGAGAAGTGAGTTCTCCATCTAGCTGGGTCACTAACCAAGCATTTGAATTTGGCTAAGCACTTAGCCAAAACCTCAAGAACCTGTGAGGCTTAGGTTCTTTACTTATAGAGTGGTTGTTAAACTAGTCAGTTTCCACATCATTGTCTAATTCTCAGATTCCAAGATTCTATTGTAAAGCGATTATCTGGCAGTATTCTTGAAATTAATAGCAAGTTAGTTGCTTTTCTTCTGTTATGATTTTTATAAATTTACCTCTTTTAGCTAAAACCCAGATCTCCTTTAATCATTTTTTTAAACATTGAATTAAGGATATTGGGGAAAAAAGAAAAAAATTATTTCTCTTAAAAAGATGTGGAACAAAATGAGAGAAAAATTAAGATTAAAGCTGGATGATTGGTAGAAAAGGGTTTATTATGTTGTTTTCTGTATTTTTCAATATGTTTAAAATACTGCAAGATAAAAATTTTTAAAAAGAATAAATGACTGAGTGGATGAAGATGGTGACCTTCTAAGGAGTTTATAGTCAGTTGACAGCATTATAAATGTGAAAGACTAATGGCATGTGATTTTCTTGTGTCTGTTCCGTCTTGCTCCATTTTATTTGTTTTATGTCAGAATTTGCTTTTATTATATAGATAAAGAACTTCAAACTGGAAGTTAAAATAATTAAGTTATAATTTCAGTTATGCAGCTAAATAGCCACGTTATCTAACTTTCTTCCTGTGTCCTAATCTGTAAAATGGAAGTAATAATTCCTGTGTTTGAAATAATACGTGAAAGTACTCCATACGCCCTAATGTTCTAAGCATATTTCAGGGCAAATTTAAAGAGGAAAAAAATATGTATTGTATATTGTTAAATACAACCATATTCCTAACTTTCAGGCCACTCGACCGGATATGATCAGGATCTTGTCAGCAGCCCTTCATGTAGTGCTAAGGAGGGATATGTCTCTGAATCGAAGACTTTATGCATGGCTTCTTGGTAGGTATTTGATGTCTACGGTCATAACTGGGGAAAAAATGGAGGGAGATTTGTCATGTATAAGTATTACCAAGTTGTATGTATTTCCTGAATTTAAAAACTAAAATTTCTTGTGTAAATGGACAATAAAAATATAAACAGTATTAGCTGTGTATTGTATGAAGAAATTTCAGCAGCTTTATAGTTGAAGAGGCTATTTGAATTCATAAAGTCATGTTCCCTTGTCCTTAACAAGATGTTTTTCCCCTTACAAATTGAGGTGGTTGTACTATAAGTTAGTAGGCAAAGAAGGATGAGCTGATAATCAAAATGCTGGCATACTATCCAAAACTTTGAATTCATCAAAGGAATCAGGACTAGTACTATCGTCTTATACATCATACTAATGTCCCACTCAGGCAGTAATACATATGTACACTTTGGTTTTCCATGCTTTTTGTGTGTTTTGTCTGTCTTCACAACTCTTTACTGCCTAGAGTGAGGGGACATAATATAACTTATTGTGGATGTTCTGAGTATCCAGTTATTTCACTGTGAGTAAAATTGGCCAAAAAAAAAAAAAAGGATAATTCTGGAAGAATACTATGATACTTACGTATTGAATTGGTTTCCCTTTATTAAACTATCTAAAATGATCTCTCTTGCTGACATTGAATGGGCTGCTAATTGGTAAGTGTTTAGTGCTGTTTTGAGATTTTGCTGTTTTGGTATTTAGTGAACAACAGTTTTGAGAATTCCATTTTAAGTAATTTTGTGATTTGTTTCTGTGGAGGTTTTGATAACAACGGTGCTATCATAGGACCCAGAAGCACAAGACATAGTAATCCCGAAGAACATGCCACTTACTATTTCACTACCTTTTCAAAAGAATTATTGGTCCAGGTAATGAATACTTTCATTATTCTTTGGTCTCTTACTGACCACTACAGGTACTGAAAAAGTATAAGACAAGCTCTTGCCTTAATTGAATTCACAGTTGAAGGGATGGAGACAAGACCTACAAACTTCCCCAGAATTTTTATAACAAGCAAATGCCTGTAAAATAGTAATCATATGTTAGACTACCACATAAGACAAAACACTTTTTTTCTCTTACTTTGTTGTTTTCATTGCTTTAGTAAAACATAGTTGCAGCTTCTCACCTTCTGCTCAATGAAAGTTGGAGCTTTTCCAAAAATGAGTCAGGACCTGTGCTATTTCCTGTGAAGCTCTGGAGAAGTTTATTTCATATTATTTTTAATTCAATTATGTTTATTTAAGATATTTGAAATAAACAGAAAAAAATACATGGTATCTGAAGCATTTTTAAAAGAGTGAGGTTATAAGAATATCGTTGTTAAGTCACTAACGGGAAAATAATTGTATAATAGCAGAAACTGCCATGATAATGTGGCATAGTTCTGAGAGGGATGATCTTAAATAGAAATTCATCTGTAGGGAAAACACTCACCTCATGCATATATTTTTCTAAATTTTCTTTGATATTCCACTGTGTCTAAAGAAAATTTAGACACTTTTTTTCTCAAGATAGATAAATATATTTTTTTCCTAGCAGAGTAAGAAGGCCAGGGTTGGTGAAAGGGCTTCAGAAAAGCAATAGTGGGTATAAATCTCCATTATATATGGTTACATTTAAAAGTACTTTTTCTTAAGGAAAAAATCTTTGAATATGTTTACTTAAATGACCAGTGTACTTTCCTTTTTTAAAGGCAATGGTGGGAATCTTACAAGTGAATGGATTTGGAGAAGAGAACACTCTAATGCAGGATCTAAAGCCTTTTCGCATTTTAATCAGTTTACTGGACAAACCTGAGCTAGGTAATATATACCGTCCTAGGGCATAAGGTCATGTGTGGTACTTTTGTGTGAATAAGAAAATAAAAAGAGTCATCAGGGAAATTGTTATATTTTGAGGTGGCCTTTAAATATAAGTTCTCAATTTCTGAAAGTTCACTCTACAAAGTTAAGATACAGGTATTCATCCAGCTGATACGTTATTATGTATCTGTCCTGTGGTATGTATGTAGCAGAAGAATCACTTTAAAGATGCTATCTAAGCTTCTCTTAATCCTGATTATATTATTGAAATTAAAACATTTATCCATCATGACCAATTTATAGTTCACAGAATCCAAGGACTTGATGAAAAATATTTGAGTTATATCCCTCAACTTTCTTCTCCATATTCCCTTTATTTTGCATGTTTTCTCTTTATTCATTGTATATTTCCTATATATTATGGCACTTGAGACAGAAATTAGGAAAAAACATAAATATTTGCAACAATAAAATGAAATCATAAAGTATGTAATATCTTCAAGTTATATACAGATGTTTTAGCAGGTGTCCTCTCACCATTTCTTAAAAATGAAAACTTTAAAATATAAGAATAACTTGAATTATATAAATGGTCTTGAGAGGTTTTTTTAGCTGTTATATGATAACAGCTGAAGCTCAGGAATTTTTTAAGGAGATGATATCTGTAATAGCAAGAAAATTTAGCCTTATGCATTTTAGTATTCAAATTAATAACAGTAATTACAAGTAGCATTTGTTTAATACTTATTATATTCTAGAAACTATGCTAGCAATCTTACAAATATTTTTTCTAACCCTTAACAGTCCTGTAAATTTCAGTATTATCCTCATTCTAGATGAGGAAACTGAAGCTCAAAGAAGTTAAATAACTTGTCTAATGTAACAGAACTATTAAGTGGCAAAACCAGTTTCTCTGATTCTGTAATTTCTATTGTGTCAATCTGCACTTTAAATATTTGTTCAGTTATGTAATATCTTACATTACCTTCTCAAAGAAATGTGAATTTAGCTTAGCTTCTGAAGAAATATTATTTTAAAAATACTTGTTTTTAAAACATCGTTTAATTGGGTCAATTTTCAGATAAGCATGATTTGCTCATGCTGATTACTGTCTTTAATTTGAATATTAATTTTAGGACCTGTAATTCTAGAAGATGTCCTGATTGAAGTGTTTAGAACATTATATTCTCAATGCAAAGCAGAGTTGGATCTTCAAACAGAACCACCCTTCAGCAAGGATCATGCTCAGTTAAGCAGGTAGATTATCAAAAAATTAAATTTGACATGAAGACATAATATGTATTCACCTAATATAAACTTGAAGTGTAATAACTTGGGATCCTACTCTATAAAGTTTGTGTTCTAATAAGTAAAGCTGATTTAATACTAGTAAAGCTGATTTAATACTGACATACTAGTTGTATTGACAGTACCTTACTATATAAAGACAGTTGTTTTAATTGTTACAAAAGACAGGAGGAGAAAATAGCTAATCAGCTAAAGGGTTGCCACTTGAAATAACAAAGTTATTTTTCCCCGATGCAATTTCAGTAATAATGGCTATTAACAGCACTAGTTGGTTTTGTTGTTGTTTTTCAAACTAAGAATAATAATTTGATTGAAACTGGTCAAAATAAACTTTTCTTAAGAAAATCCTGAATAGCACAGGGAAGCAGACAAAATTCTTCACAATCAAGGCTGTGAAAATCAAATCACTACTCAGTTTGTATGTGCCAAGGGAAATAAAAGAATTTTGCCAAATTTACAGTCTTACACACTAAATAGTTCAAAAAGAAATTCTTGTTCTTTTGTCTTTTATTATGCAGAAACTATGAAAGTCTAATTTCTGATCTTGATATTTGAGTGACAAAAATTCAAATTTGGAAAAATAACTGCACATAAAATAATAGAGTGGCAGTAGATAAAAATTATTTGTTGCAATCTTCTTACTAGCACATTTTCTAGCAACTACCTAGGAATGTGTACTGGCATTGCACTCAAATTTAAATTTGAAAAAATAAATGTTAATATTTTTTAGTTTTTGTTTTCTTTTCTCTTTTTTCAGTAAATTAAGAGAAAATAAGAAAACAGCAGAGTTGATTAAAACTGCTAACCTTCTGTTTAATTCCTTCGAACCTTATTATATGTGGGATTATGTTGCACGTTGGTTTGAAGAATGTTGTAGGTACGTTAAACTTTCATTCGTTTTAATTTAGTAACATCCAAAGCTAACCTTTGGGTTTTTTTAAGTTATTAAATTTAATGAATGTTCTTTTATACATTCTATTACTAATAATAACTGTTAGTTACTTATTATTCATAATCTGACTCTACCTTGTCACATAGGATATAAAATCATTGATCATATTCTCTTAGAATTGGAAGGGAGTTTAGAGATCAGTTATTCATACACCAGAGTAGATTAAAAGTTTTCCCTCTTCAGTCTATAGTAATGTAGTTTTTCATTGTTGTAGAAAAGACAGCAAATTTTGGGCTGCTGCCTCAGCACACTTTTCCAAAAGGATTTCCATTTTGATTAACAAAAAACTTTTTGGCCTGACTTGTGTTTTTAGAAGCCATTAGAACTAATCCATACTGTCACTGGGCAGTGATAAAAGCCTTCTACCCCTTAGGAAATAAAGCAAAAAATATGGTCTGAAAACCCTTGGCTACTAGTGAATCTCAGTGGAATCTCTGGCTTCTAGACCAGATCCTCTCAACCAGATTAACCACTCAAGGCCCAGGAGCATGTAGTCAAAATGTAATTTTATATGATCTGGGCATTAGAAGTCTTTTAATAAAAAACGTTAATTGTTGCTCCTATACATTAATCTCTTTAATGGTTTAGAAAGTTCTTGACTTATTCCGCAGAGGTTGAGCACCCAGTTAAAAAGCATCATGCTAGGCAGATAGACAGTCCCTGTCTTCAAAGATCTTGTAGTGGGAACAAATAAGACATGCATGTATATATTCCTAGTATTAAAAAATACAAATGTCTTAATAGATTAAAATGTAGGAATTGTATCTTTTTGTCACCTGACCCTACCCTGGGTTTTTACCTTCTACATTCACAAATGCACACATCCACACTTCTTCAGCCAACCTGGACTATTCTCTGAAAGTTAGCAGCATGTTAACTTTCATGCTGCTGAGGCTTCACTTGTGCTATTCTTTCTAAAGTACTCTTTCCCCTTGCCCATGTGCTAAAATCCTATGTAGAGGTTACCCACCTTTCCTTCCTTCCCTCAAATCTCCCATCAGGATCGATGCCGCCAACACTGTCACATTGTTGCATTTATTTGTCTACATGCTTATATTCTTGTTGGTCAGGGACTATATTATATTCTTACTTTGTGTCTTCAGAGTGGAGGGCAATGTATGGTCATATAGGATTTCTGTGATTTAATGTGAATGTTTGTTGGAGGAATGATCTCTGCTACTTGGATCAGAAGAGGCTTCCTGGAGGAGGTAACATTTGATCTCAGACTTTGAAGGACAGATGCATTCTGATCATGGGAAAAATGAGACTGGGGAGGGCAGCAGTACAGAATGACAAATGAGCCTATTTTAAGACCCAAGGTTAGAAATCAAGTAGCAATTACTCAGTGTTAACTAGGAGGTGTTATCTGTACAGGAAGCAATGGGAAATAAGTCCGAGAGAGTGAGATCCATTCAGAACACTTCGAAGTGCAGGATAGGAGTTGTAGGGAGAGGTTCAGCCTAGGAATCTTGCTTTGGAAATTTTCCACGAAGAGGTACAGTGTCCTGGGGGAAATAGAATTTGTCATCACAGAAACATGACTGTGTGTGACCCAGTATTGACTTGGCCTTCATTAGAAGGATGATGATGCTGTCACAGGTATTCACATCACTTGACAGTATACTTGATAAAGTAAATTTCGTCCTTTTAGGAGGACACTGCATGCCAGACTTCAGATTGGACCTGGAGATAGTAATGACTCATCTGAATTACAGCTGACCAATTTCTGCTTACTGGTGGATTTTTTATTGGACATAGTTTCTTTGGTAAGACCACCTTGGTAAGAAAATATCAAGGACATCTAATAACACAGTTCAAATATTTCATGTTGTAGGCAAGCCTTCAGATACATTTCATCTTTAAAATTAAATTGATTTTTTCCTCTTTGGTAAGCTTTTTTTCATAAAATCTTTCAAGTGTTTTCTCCTTTGACATATACATATAAAAAATACATGAGGTAAACTTCATAATTGCATGTTATAAAATCTTAACTGTTTAGTGTATAGTGGTCTAATGCTGCATTTATGTTAATATTATTTCTATTAAATGAAGACTTGGAAATCTTTTCCCTTCTGTTTTCTCTCCTCACTTCTTTGCTTTCTCATTTTGAAGCCTACTAGAAGTATGAGGGTGCTGTGTCAGGTATGACATTCAGCCTGTTTTGTTTTTAAATAATTCTATTTACTTTTGTTACATTATAATTTTAGTAATGTAGCAGATAAAACTGGGGTTATTTTATAATACATGCTTTGAAGTATTTAAATTGAGAATTTGGGAATAGAAATTTTATAAGGCATCAGTAATAAAATACACAGTGTTAACAGCATGATGCATATAAAACATTACAGATGAGTAAAATTATTGCCTATTTATATATAGATTAAAAAATGTAACTTTTGGGTTCCACATTGTTTAAACTTTTTTCGTTTCACTTCTGTTTTCAGGAGACTTACATTGAAATCCAGACAGAACACTTGCCCCAGTTGCTGCTCAGAATGATTTCTGCCTTGACAAGCCATCTCCAGACATTGCATTTGTCTGAACTCACATATTCTCTCAGACTTTGCTCAAAGATCCTTAGCAAGGTTCAGCCTCCACTGTTATCTGCTAGCACTGGAGGTGTTTTGCAGTTTTCAAGTGGGCAGAACAATTCAGTCAAAGAATGGGAAGACAAAAAGGTAATTTTAACTATTATTTTTGGTATTAGACCATTTACATTTCTTCAAAGCAGAAGTTACTTAGTAAAATCACTTATACGTAAGCATTTAAATAATAGTCTTTCCTAGATCCAAATGCAATGTTAGTAGGCTTTTGTAGGCTTTTGGTTATAGGGCAGTTTAATTATCTATATCAGTACTTTTCCAGTAGAAGTTATCATGTGAATGGCATATGTAATTCAAAATTTTCTAGTACCCACATTGAAGTAAAATGCAGGTAAAGTTAATTTTAATTCTAGTTTATTCAGACAATTGTAGCCAATATATTATCATTTCAATGTAATCTATATAAAAGTGATGTCATATAAATAAGTGAGGTAGCTTACATTCTTTTTTGTGCTGTCTTCAAGATCTAGTGTGCATTTTACACTTACAGCGCATCTTTGTGCTGATTGGTTTGTGAGTACACAAAAGAGGCTAAAACAAAGGCACCACTCAAAGGTGAGCACAACAGTATAAATAACCAATTAGGGAAGGGTAGGTATATGTAAAATAGGTGAAGAGTGGGGATCAATCAGAGGAAAGCGTGCCAAATGGGAAGAGAGGGTCTCAATCTGGTCTGTGAATTTATGCAGGACTTGTAGCTAGGCTTTAAACTGTCCTTGGCTTGAATGTGGGGTTTCACCGGGGACCCGTCGCTGGCTGCCTAGGATTTGTCTGTCTCCTGCTGCTATCACTGTGCTAGTTGCTGGCGATCCAGTGGTGAGCTAGACATAGTCTCTCCCCTTCTCTGTCCTTTCTTTCTAATTGGGAGAAATATTATACAAGTAAGTGCACATTTAATTACAGTTGTGATAAATGTACAAAGGAAAATAATCAAGTGGTAGGAATATGGAAAATGGGGTGACCTGACCTATGCTGGGGCCAAAGAATGCTTTCTTGAGGAAGGTGTGTTTGAGTGAAGCCCTAGAGGAACTGGTGTGGTGAGGGAGGTAAAAAGAGAGCACCTGACAGAGGAAGAAGTATAACAGCCCAATGAGTTCACCTTGCCTGCTGCCTAGACAGCCAATTTATCAAGACAGAGGAATTGCAATGGAGAAACAGTAATTTATGCACAGCCGGCTATGTAGGAGACTGAAGTTATTATTGCCCAAATCAGTCTACCCGAAAACTTGAGGATCATAGTCTTTAAGGATAATTTGGTGGGTAGGGGGCCAGTGAATTGGGAGTGCTGATTAGTTGGCTTGGGGATGAAATCATAGGGAGTAGAAGCTTTTTTTATGTTGAATCAGTTCCTGGGTGGGGGCCACAGAACTGGTTGGCAGGTCCAGGTGAGGCCATTCAGTTGTTAGAAATGCAAAAACCTGAAAAGACATCAAAAGGCTGATCTTAGGTTCACATAGTGATGTTACCTACAAGAGTAATTGGGGAAGTTGAAAATCTTATGACCTCTGGAATAATGGCTGGTAATATTTAGAATTCCAGCTCCTCTCATTCTAACCTGGTAGCTGGTGGCCTTTCATTTGTTTTACAAGAACAGTTTAGCTTTAAACTACAAACTAAACTCCTTCCCAAGGCTAGTTCAGCCTATACCCAGGAATGAACAAGGACAGTTGAGAGGACAGAAGCAAGATGAGGTCAATTAGGTTTGATATCGTTCACTGTCATAATTTTCTCAGCTATGATTTTGCAAAGGCTCTTAGGCAGAGACAAGCACCAAGCAGACAAGAGATGCAGCTGTAAGACAGGCAGAGGCCAGGTCTTAGAGGGCCTTGAGCTGTTCTAGGGCTTTTGTTGTTTAGGAGCACCAGGAAGGCCCTGAAGGGGAAAAGGCAGATAGCATAATTACGTTTGTGTATTAGAAAAGTTACTCTGGCTGCAGTGTGAAATGTAGATGAGAAACACAAACAGATGTGGGAAGACCTATAGTAGCGCAGGTGAGAGGTGGTGATAACTTGTGCCAACAAGATACGAGGAGTAAAGATAGAAATGGATGGATTAGCAATATATTTAGGAGGAAAAATAGACTTAGTAATAGATTGATAAGGGTAATGATCGCTAACCATGAGTGTTTACTAGGTGCTAGGCATTTTGCCATGTGCTTTATATATACCGTTATGTAATCCTCATAGCAATTGTAAAATGTAGGAATTACTGTCCCTCAATTATACACATTAGGAAACGGTGGTTTGGAGAAGTTAAATAACTTGCCAGGTATCACATAACTAGTGAATGGCAGAGCCCTAGTTGACTCAAGGCCTGCAACCTTAATGCCTCTACTGATATGAAAGTGGGGAGGGGAGGAGGGGTGAAGAAGGTACAAAGAATGATCCCTAGGTTTCTGTCTTCCTGACTCAAGGAAGAGTGTCATTCACTGAGGCAAGGAACATTAGGTGAAGCCCAGCTTTGGGCAACAGAGCATTTAGTTCATGATGCTACTATATTCTGACTCAGTCACCCAAGGAATTCTTACATATAACTTTTACTTAATTAAGCCAGAAAATATCCTCGATATTTATACTTACTCTATCCTATTGTAGGGAGTAAAAGGCTAATACACTCCAGTTCTACTCCAGGAACCGGTTCATTTGTTTGTTTATTGTAATTTAATTGTCTCTCATCTTCCCCTCTAGATTATAAAATATTCCTTTTATTTCTACTACCTAATACAGTGTTTGGCACCATGATAGGAATTTGATAACTATTCACTGAAAGACAAATATTTAATTAGCACTTTACACATATCAATAAAAATTTCACATTCAAGTGGCCCTGAACAGATGAGCTATTAGATTTTATTTGTAGTTATTAAAATGTCATTTTTTAACCTTACATATCTCATTCTTGGCATTTTTTAGACATTAGGAAAGTGATTTCATGAATTAGGTGAAATAACCATTTGAAAACAAGGATATAGATCCTAGAGACTTCTATATATGTATTTTTGTCCTCAAGAATCGAACCTTATGTATGCTGTGTATGTAGTGCATAATAAATACTTGGAGAATGAATAAATCGGTGTAGGGGCTGCTGTAAGAGTCAACAGAATGGGTAGATTAAATTGTGAATAGTCTAAACATCTCTCAAAAGTGGTCATTTCTAACTCCTAATATGTACACTTTGCTACTCAGCCTTTTGCTTTCTTAAAAATCTCTAACAGATATCATCAGTTTCTCATGAAAATCCTACTGAAGTGTTTGAAGATGGAGAAAATCCACCAAGTAGTCGATCATCAGAGAGTGGATTCACTGAGTTTATACAATATCAAGCAGACCGAACTGATGATATTGACAGAGAACTGAGTGAGGGGCAGGGGGCAGCTACCATCCCAATTGGTAGCACATCCTCTGAAACAGAAACAGCATCCACTGTGGGATCTGAAGAAACCATCATCCAGACCCCTTCCGTAGTCACTCAGGGGACAGCAACCCGAAGTGGGAAGACAGCCCAAAAGACTGCAATGCAGTGCTGCTTGGAGTATGTCCAACAGTTTCTTACCAGACTTATCAACCTCTACATCATTCAGAATAACTCTCTTTCTCAGGCTTTGACTACAGAACATCAGGGGGATCTTGGTCGAGAACAAGGAGAGACTTCAAAATGGGACAGAAATTCACAAGGAGATGTAAAAGAGAGAAGCATAAGTAAACAAAAAACTTCTAAAGAATACCTTTCTGCCTTCCTTGCTGCCTGTCAGCTCTTCCTAGAGTGCTCAAGTTTCCCAGTTTACATCGCTGAGGGGAACCATACATCAGAGTTACGTTCTGAAAAACTGGAGACTGGTAAGGTCATCTCAGTTTTGCTTATATTTCAGTATTTTCTGTAGTATGTTTTTTCTTTTTAAAAGAGGCATTCATTAAAACGGATTTTTTTAGCCAGTTACTTTTTTTTAATGTTTTAATTTGCAAGTTTTTTTTTAATGGAATACTGTCACTATGGGGAGATTGATATATTGCAAGATTTTGTGATTTTGATGTTGTTCACAGTTTGCTTGCGGGTAAGTTGGAGCTGAAATGGAAATCTCTGGAGAAAAGTAGTGTAGCAGTAGATCTGCTGGTTTTCTTTGTTATGACCAGTAACATGTTTACTTTTATTTTGATTTTTATATATACACACACAGTGCAGTGAATACTACATAATGCTTATTGATCAATATACTGTTTTTTGGGACGGGATAATAGATTGTATGACTTGGCATAAGAAAAATATATATTGAAGAAAAGTATAATAAATTATTGTTGCTACTTTATTAAAGCTCTAGACTAGGTGAGAAACCATGGTTTTGTTAACAGATCAAGGCCTTAAAAGTATTTAGTGGCTTTATTTTTTGAAATTAACTTAGAGTGTGTGTGAAATGTTTAGTATAATGAACTCTGATTGCTACCATCTTTTGTTTCAGACTGTGAGCATGTGCAGCCTCCACAGTGGCTCCAGACTCTGATGAATGCTTGCAGCCAAGCAAGTGATTTCAGTGTTCAGAGTGTTGCTATTTCACTAGTCATGGACCTGGTGGGACTGACACAGTCTGTGGCCATGGTCACTGGGGAAAACATCAACAGTGTAGAGCCTGCACAACCCTTAAGTCCAAACCAGGGAAGAGTAGCTGTGGTTATTAGACCTCCCCTCACTCAGGGCAATCTGAGGTACATAGCTGAGAAGACTGAATTTTTCAAGGTAAATTCTAAGAAATGCATACATGACGACGATCATTACAGCCATGTATGATACTTGACCTAGTTTGCTTTAAGGATTATTTTTTAAATGATAATAAAGCTTCATTAAACACCTCTTAATATGTCTTGCCATATAGAAAATGATGCCACAGCTGATAGACATACTGCTCTCCCCATCTTATTCCCAATTTTGTGAGCGGGGAGAAAAATAAGAATAAAGGAGTAGGAATATTAGGATAAAGAGAAGTATTAGGGCACTGAAGCCATGTAGGAAATAATTTCAGCTAAAAAGAGGAAAACAGTAGAACTTACTTTCAGATTAAGTGGTTGTGACACTTTTGCTTTTTTTTTTTTTTTTTTTTTTGAGACAGTCTCGCTCTGTCGGCCAGGCTGGAGTGCAGTGGCACGATCTTGGCTCACTGCAACTTCTGCCTCCTGGGCTCAAGCAATTCTCCTGCCTCAGCCTCCCTAGTAGCTGGGATTACAGGCGTGTGCCACCATGCCCAGCTAATTTTTGTGTTTTTAGTAGAAACGGGATTTCACCATGTCGGCCAGGCTGGTCTCAAACTCCTGACCTCAGTAATCCGCCCGCCTCAGCCTCCCAAAGTGCTGGGATTACAGGCGTGAGCAGCACTTTTGCTTTTCATACAGTAAAACCTTAGCACTCTAAAACTCTCATGAAAAGTTTTTCTGACTCATCATATTGTCTCATTATCATCTGTGGTGTATAAAGTCACTCAGAAAAAAATTCAGAAAACTCAGTCTTTGATTTCTACCCCAATGGTATAAATATTATCCTCTATATCGAACATCAAGTAGATTTGGATTGTATACATCTTAAGCAGGTAGATTCTTTATACTGTACATTAAAAAAAAGTTTTAAAATGTGATTTCAAGTCATTGTGCCCCTTCAGATATTTCCTCCTGCTAGATTAGAGTTGGATTTTATAATATTGTGGTAGTGAATCCTGAAGATTATTGCATTATTATTATTACTAATTGCATTTTTTTTTTTTTTGAGGCGGAGTCTCGCTCTGTCGCCCAGGCTGGAGTGCAGTGGCCGGATCTCAGCTCACTGCAAGCTCCGCCTCCCGGGTTTACGCCATTCTCCTGCCTCAGCCTCCCAAGTAGCTGGGACTACAGGCGCCCGCCACCTCGCCTGGCTACAAAAATTTTTTGTATTTTTTAGTAGAGACGGGGTTTCACCATGTTAGCCAGGATGGTCTTGATCTCCTGACCTCGTGATCTGCCCGTCTCGGCCTCCCAAAGTGCTGGGATTACAGGCTTGAGCCACCACGCCGGGCCACTAATTGCATTATTATTAATGCTGTTACAGATCAAGTGCTACGTTAACATATGGAGCTCTGAAATACCTATTATCTATTTTATAGATTTTAAGTAGTTTGGATATTTCAACTATGAATTACTTTTCACTCTGTAATATACAACCATGAATATTAAAGTGCATTCAATGTCGGATTTGTATCTTATTAAGGATAGTTTATTCTAGCATCACTTTACTAACACTGCTAAATAATGAAATGGGGTCTTACCTGGGCCTTGCAGAAAACATTCACATGTCTGATTTTTTTTTGAGATACAGTCTCGCTCTGTTGTGCAATCTCTGCTAACTGCAACTTGCACCCTTCGAGTTCAATTAATTCTCCTGTCTCAGCCTCCCGAGTAGCTGGGATTACAGGTGCATGCCACCACGCCCGGCTAACTTTTTGTATTTTTAGTAGAGACAAGATTTCGCCGTGTTGCCCAGGCTGGTCTCAAACTCGTGACCTCAGGTGATCCTCCTGCTTTGGCCTCCCAAGATGCTGGGATTACAGGCATGAGCCACCATGTCCAGACAACATGCCTGATGTCTAAAAACAAATATCATTACAGGACTATCATAAAAGGTTCCAAGGGCTTGGGTGATCAGAAAGTAGGTACATGGAAGACTGCACTTAGTAACCTCATCCCCATAGAATAGAATATTAAAAACCTTTCAGATCTGACAGAGAGCAGACATTCATTTATACCTAATAAGAAATATTTGTTAAATAAATTTTCATGTATGGTATTGTGACTGTCACTTTTACATCTTTTTTGTAGCATGTAGCTTTAACATTGTGGGACCAGTTGGGAGATGGGACACCTCAGCATCACCAGAAGAGTGTGGAACTATTTTATCAATTACATAACTTAGTTCCTTCTTCTAGCATCTGTGAGGATGTTATAAGTCAGCAGTTAACCCATAAAGATAAGGTAAATCCTCTTCTTATCTTGTGCACACCGCCTCCCCCCCCCGCCACACACACACACACACACACACACACATTATACTAAAAAGTAAGTTAAGAAAACTTTAGGGAAATTATTGCAGTTAACATAGGAGTAAGAGAAAATAGCTTTGTTCACAGTGATCTTAATATCTTTAAAATAAATGTATTCAACTCTTTCTAGAGGAAAGTTGTTTACAAAAGCATCAGTAATATGAAAAGTAAAACAAAAATCAAATGCTGGATTTATTTATTTGTTCAGGACACAGTTATGGGAAATGATGTTTTGTATTGGTGGTCTCAGTTCTTGGGTCATTTAAAGAGGAACCAGTAGCCTCAGTTATGGAACTTATGGATTTATTAACTAATACATATGAAATGAAATAATGTATAAATTATATTCATAAGCTATAGAATACTAATATGTGAGATTATATTATTTGCATTATTATACTACATATCCAAAATAAGAATTTTGTATTCTAATATATATGAAGTGTGATATATAATTCAGTTAGCCTGAGAAGAAGCTGGAATAATCATTTTGACTAACCTCATCAGGGTAATTTAAGATGTTTGTGGTCTTCCTGTGCTGCTCTGTAATATAAATAGAAGATTTGATTGAAGACCTTTTAGAAGTATATTGTCCTATTTTTAAAAAACTCAAAATGCTAGTGTGTTTGAGTGGGTCATATTCAAAAAAGGAATTGTGTTAAATAAACATTTGGCAGAGGAGAAAGTGGTATGTGAAGGAGTAAATGAAAGGAATGAAAAGTTTATTCCAAGAAAAATGTTAAAAATCTATTTCTGCTATGACACATTTTTTTTCAAAATTATTCAGAAATAATAGGGAAGCACTCTATTCTAACAATTTAAGTTTTACATTAAATATAAATCTAGGACAAATTATATGCCTATTTTCACTTGGGTAGCATTTCATTTTTAAAGAAATACTCCCAAGTTCTAAATAAAGATATACATCCATGAAAAAAATTAAAATATATTTTACTACTTAATGTTTACATTTCTGTTGGTTGATACAAATGCAGGCTTCGTAAGAAAAGCCTGTATTAAGCTCACAGAAAAAACAAGCATGCCTCCCAACTATCACAAGCAATTTAGGAAGTTGCAGTCTGGTTTCTTGGGGCTTTTGCTTAAAGGATCCATAAATGCTAAAGAAAGACTTCAAAAGTTTTGATAATGTGAGACAATTTCTACTTGATTTATATTAATACATATTTATTATCTAATACAAAGTGTGCTTGCTGTTCTAAATATTTTTACATTGTTTTACCCATTATTAATCTTTTTCCAAATAATCTCAAAAGTAGTTTGATATTTTTATTGTAGAAATAATTTTTAAGTGTTTAAATTTTTGAGTCAAACCAGCTTATAAGTGATGAAAAACTCATTTGGGATTAATGTATCATTTCTGGGACAAAAAATATATAGTGCAATGAAATCAATTTTGACAACTAAATGTTTATATTAAAATGAAGGAGGAAGTGCCTTCTGGACTCCAGATATATGTACACTAGTAACTTTTTTCTTCTGTTATACAATAATCTAGTAAGCTCATTACTTAAAGTCTAAACTCAGGAATAATTATTTACGAGACAGGATGAGATGATAACCTTTAAGTTCAATATTTCTGTATATATTTACATATTTTCTGTGTTTCTACTTCCATAAAGAATAGAAATAAAGTTTATTGCAATGTGTGTTTGAATATTGTGGACGTTGAACGTAATACAGTACTCCTAAATAGTACTCTGATTTTACTGAAATCACTTAGTATCTTCAAGAGAGAACATAATTTAAGCTCCCATGTTTCTCCTCAGAAAATAAGGATGGAAGCACATGCCAAGTTTGCAGTTCTTTGGCATCTAACGAGAGATCTCCATATAAATAAATCTTCATCTTTTGTACGTTCTTTTGACAGGTCAGTTACATTTTATATTAAGATTTCACAGTAAGATATCTTAATGCTGCCTCTTTCCTTGAGTCTACTGTCTGGCTTGGCAAGCGTAGGAGATAGCAATTTATCAATTTTATAAAGAGAGTTTATTATTTTGAAAACCATAAACTGTATTAAAATGCATGGCATTTTTACTCATCCACCAGATACTTACTTTCTGGTTTTGGAGTACCTGGTTTCCCTTCCCTTCCTTGGACAACTATTTATCACATTCCTACAAGGTGTCAGGCACCATTCTAGGTGCATTACTTAGAATGATAATGCTAGTGATAGAGCAATGGATACAGCTTTCTTGAGTCTATATTCACATTTAGTGAAACTGCATATAAATAGTAGTGTTAAAAATTATGTGTTTCTCAAGCAATTATTTTCAATCTTCTGCCTAAACTAGATTTGTTAAAATCTATAGCTGAAAACACTAACAGATTATTTCCATGAATCCAGAGAACTTGTAGCTGCCTGAGAGTGGTTTTGGTTTTTGTCTGGACTCCATAGGTGACTTCAGATATCAGATCTGCATTAAATTCCAAGGAGCTGCCATTTTTAGGTGGATTCACATAGTGTCATAAGGTAGTCTCACCAGCCGGTCTCATAGTGGTGGCCATGAATCTGTGTTCAAGCTCAGCTCAAGATCAGAATTGTCCTCTACTGAACGTTATTTCAGCTGGTGCTTTTCAACCAGCATTACCATTTTTAAGTGATCTGATACTGAACCATATATTGAACCCTTACAGTGTATTGAATATATTGAACCTTTACTCTATAAATAATCATCTCTTATTTGACAACTATCTTTCCTAATTTTACAAGTGAGGGAATAGAGGTCAGGAAAAGTTGTTACTTGCCCAACACCATACAAAAGATTTGAATCTTGGGTTTTTCTGATTCCAAAGCACACTTTCATACCATTCACAGATTTTTCCTTGAATTAAGCACATAGCTTTGACTCACAGGGAGTGTGTGAGCAGAGGAACATGGATCAACATGGAGTAATGCTGACTTGCCGAAGGCTCAGTGCTTGATAATGTGAACAGGAAACTGTTGCTAAAACAAGACTAATCATATTTTTTTTCAATTCTTCAGTATTAATCTTAGTAATGTATGCTTGTGAAATTTCAAAGCATAAGTATATTTTTAGAAGGGGAAAAGTTTTTTTCCTTTCTTATGCCTACTGAGACTATTGGGATTAAGATTATTAAAATGCTATGATCAAAATTTATCCTGAAGTATGACTACTTCAAAATAGTTAATTCAAAGTAAGAAACCCAATTTATTGATTTTATAAAAGAGTGTGACAAGGTAGATGTTTGGTTCTTTATTTTAATTATTTGTGTTTATTTTAGGTCACTGTTCATCATGTTAGATAGCCTTAACAGTCTCGATGGTTCTACTAGCTCTGTGGGACAAGCCTGGCTGAACCAAGTCCTACAAAGACATGATATTGCACGAGTTTTGGAACCATTGCTATTGCTCCTGCTTCATCCAAAAACTCAGAGGGTTTCAGTACAGCGTGTACAAGCAGAACGTTATTGGAATAAGGCTCCCTGTTATCCAGGAGAGGACAATGACAAGCATTTCATGCAAAATTTTGCCTGCAGCAATGGTGAATATCACATAGAAGTAGACAGCCTTATTTAGAATTATCAAAATAAAGTGATAAGTGAATATAACAGTAATTGGTGGATGAACTGCATGTGAGATTTTCTCCATGGGCTTATTTTCTCCCCTCCTCATGCACTAGCAATGCTGTGTGGACCATGTCAGAATGTACTGTGTCAATGACCATCGTAGAGGATGTGGGTCTCTCAGTTGACTTTTTCAGGGCAGGAATCAGGCACAGCTCTGGTTAGAGACATTCTTCAGTTTTGATGGAAATATCTTTAGAGCTTAGTTAGCAATTCTGGTCCTACAGGCTCTGTAGATACTTCATTGGGAATTTATAGTAAACCTGTAATACACATTTTGTATTTCATGAGTCGTTTTCCTCATCTTTTAGGAGAATAATGATGCCCAACTTTCAAGGTTTTATTATGACCATCAGATGTAGACATGTTTGTGACATGCATAAATATTCACTGTTACTATATTACTACAAAGTCCATACTTTATAAACTGTTGAGTGATGCCTTCTATACAGTGATAATGTCCCCTTATTTTATTTAAGGGACAAAAGACTCTCACATATATCATTTGTCTCTTGACAAACCCCGTGGGGTCTGTAATGAAAAGATCATTTTACTGAGCAGGTTGCTGATGCCTGGAAGATTATGGCTTTCTCAAAGTCTCATGGCTAGTAAGTGATGAAGCTGAAACCAAACTGTCATATTCCTGCTTCATCTCTAGTGCGTTTCTACAGAGTCTTGGTTCCTCTCTCTGGCTTCTTTTCCACTGCTTCTTCTGAATCTTGTAAGAATTTGTATGACCCTGCTTATTGCCAGAGTGTCTTTCTGTTAATGCTTTATCTAACTCTGCTGAATTCTCACCTCCTCTCTGAGATCAGTGCCAGATCTCATCAATGGTATCATGATTCTTTCCCTAAATTTGCTAGCATTTGGTATGTACTATTTTGTATGTCACTAAGCCTTCCACTTTTTCTAAAAGAAGACCGTCATTAATGTATGCCACCTAAGAAATACAGAAATTAATTATATATTTGTGGTTTGCTGCTAATTTTAAACTCTTTAGAGAGTTTAGAAACAGCATAACTAAAGTGAGGTGTTAGGGAGGAAAAATAAAACAAAATTTTCACCTGCAATAAAATAAAATGTAATTTTAGTAGGAAAATATAAGTAGATGATGACACTAATGATTAAAAATTTTGATCAGTCTACATTTCAATTATTTTAATGCATTTTGCATTTTTCTTCTTCTACTGTTTTTCTCATATATCAGTGAGCCAAGTACAACTCATCACATCGAAAGGAAATGGTGAAAAGCCACTTACCATGGATGAAATAGAGAACTTTAGTCTCACTGTGAATCCATTAAGTGACAGACTTTCCCTCCTAAGTACCAGCAGTGAGACAATTCCAATGGTTGTGTCTGATTTTGATCTTCCAGACCAACAGATAGAAATACTTCAGAGTTCTGACTCGGGATGTTCACAGTCCTCTGCAGGGGACAACTTGAGTTATGAAGTTGATCCTGAAACCGTGAATGCCCAAGAGGATTCTCAAATGCTAAAGGAAAGCTCCCCAGATGATGATGTTCAGCAGGTAGTGTTTGACCTGATATGTAAAGTTGTAAGTGGCCTCGAAGTGGAATCTGCATCAGTTACATCTCAATTAGAAATTGAAGCTATGCCCCCAAAGTGCAGTGATATAGATCCAGATGAAGAGACAATTAAAATTGAAGATGACTCTATTCAACAGAGTCAGAATGTTTTGCTGAGTAATGAAAGTTCTCAGTTTCTGTCTGTGTCTGCAGAGAGAGGCCATGAGTGTGTGGCAAATGGAATATCCAGGAATAGCTCCTCACCTTGTATTTCAGGAACCACACACACTCTTCATGACTCTTCTTTTGCTTCCATAGAAACCAAATCTAGACAAAGGAGTCACAGTAGTATTCAATTCAGCTTCAAAGAAAAATTATCAGAAAAAGTTTCGGAGAAGGAAACAATAGTTAAGGAGTCAGGTAAACAACCAGGAGCAAAACCTAAAGTAAAACTTGCCAGAAAAAAGGATGATGACAAGAAAAAATCTTCCAATGAAAAACTCAAACAAACCAGTGTATTCTTTAGTGATGGTCTGGATTTAGAGAACTGGTATAGCTGTGGAGAGGGAGACATTTCTGAAATTGAGAGTGACATGGGTTCTCCAGGATCTCGGAAATCTCCCAGTTTCAACATTCATCCTCTCTATCAACATGTGCTCCTGTATCTCCAGTTGTATGATTCATCCAGGACTTTGTATGCTTTCTCTGCCATCAAAGCCATCTTGAAAACTAACCCTATAGCTTTTGTAAATGCCATTTCAACTACTAGTGTAAATAACGCATATACTCCTCAGTTGTCTCTCCTTCAGAATCTATTGGCCAGACACCGGATTTCTGTTATGGGCAAAGATTTTTATAGTCACATTCCAGTGGACTCAAATCATAACTTCCGGAGTTCTATGTACATAGAAATTCTTATTTCTCTCTGCCTATATTACATGCGTAGCCATTACCCAACTCATGTCAAGGTTACTGCACAAGATTTAATAGGCAATCGAAACATGCAGATGATGAGCATAGAAATTCTGACACTACTTTTCACTGAGCTGGCAAAAGTAATAGAAAGCTCAGCGAAGGGTTTCCCTAGTTTTATTTCTGATATGTTATCTAAGTGCAAAGTTCAGAAAGTGATTCTTCATTGTTTGCTGTCATCTATCTTTAGTGCTCAGAAATGGCATAGTGAAAAAATGGCAGGTAAGAACATGGTTGCTGTGGAAGAAGGTTTCTCAGAGGACAGCCTTATTAATTTTTCAGAGGATGAATTTGACAATGGCAGCACGTTGCAGTCACAACTTCTTAAGGTGCTTCAGAGGCTGATTGTTCTAGAACACAGAGTAATGACTATTCCTGAAGAGAATGAAACAGGTTTTGATTTTGGTGTATCTGACTTGGAACACATCAGTCCCCATCAACCCATGACTTCTCTTCAGTATTTGCATGCTCAGCCAATCACGTGTCAAGGCATGTTCCTCTGTGCAGTGATACGAGCTTTGCATCAGCACTGTGCATGTAAGATGCACCCACAATGGATCGGTTTAATCACATCTACCCTGCCTTACATGGGAAAAGTTCTACAGAGAGTAGTTGTTTCTGTGACACTACAACTGTGCAGAAATCTAGATAATCTAATTCAGCAGTACAAATACGAAACAGGATTATCTGACAGTAGGTAAGAGGTGACTTTTAACTTTATTGGTACTGAAATTTTTTAAATAAATGACTGCTTAATGTCTGGAAAGTTGGTCACAACTTGAGTAAATAAATTAGTGGTTTTTGGTAGGTTACAAATAGTATATTATTTTCCACAAAAAAAAATGTGGCTTGAGGAAGAGTATCAATAAAAGAATCTAGAATGGAAAAGGGAAGGAATATTTAAACAGGCTTATTTTCTTCCAAGGACTGAAATTAATTTCAATGTTCTTCTTGCCTGAGCTGGCAAAACTAATAGGAAGCTTAGGAAAGGGTTTCCTGGGTTTTGTCTGCTTTATCTAAGTGCAAATCAGTTTTAGACTGAAAATAATTTAAATTTACAAATCTTTTCCATCCAATTTTGTTTTCTGTTTTGGATTTTCATGGTTTAGTGGCAAATTCAATCTGAGTCCCCATGCTCAAAATGAAGTCTGAAAAATTAGTTCCAGTAGACTGTCTCATTTTTCAGAATAACCTTAGTTTCTACATGTAAAATAATAAGAAAACTGCCTTTGTTGTTTAATATTAATATGCCTGCCATTCCTCAGTGGCTAGAGATTCACTGGCCATCGTGTATTTATTTTGTATAGAATTCTTTAGCCAAGAGGAACTCTAGTATATTTAGTCCAACTCACTTATTTTATAGATTAGGAAATAAAAGACCCTGATTTATTCTTTTAGCCATTTATTAATCTCGTATTTATTGCACATTTTCTATGTACCTGACACATTGAGAATATTTCCTAGTGATAAAATATGAACTATACTATCATAAAACTTGTGTTTAAATGAATGCATTTTATTTCAGGCCTCTGTGGATGGCATCAGTTATTCCACCAGATATGATTCTTACTCTCTTGGAAGGGATTACAGCCATTATCCATTACTGTTTGTTGGATCCAACTACACAGTATCACCAAGTAAGACTGCATAAATATTTGACTTCTTTTGAAAGACTGTGAGGTCTAATATATTTCCATTTGTAAATCTCAGTAAGTAATGAGGTTTTTTTCCCCCAACTGTTAATAGCTTTTGGTCAATGTAGACCAGAAACACTTGTTTGAAGCACGCAGTGGAATCCTCTCAATCCTTCATATGATCATGTCCTCTGTGACACTGCTTTGGAGCATACTGCATCAAGCCGATTCTTCGGAAAAGATGATTATTGCTGCCTCCGCATCTGTTACCACTATTAATCTTGGAGCTACAAAGGTTAGACAATTCATATTTAATCTGTAGAGCTCAGGAGTCTGTTTGAGGACCTTCCCAAAGATTATATTCAGAATATGTGAATAATTTGTGTAGTATTTACAGGACCCTGCATAGATTAATTATCAAATAATTTTTAACAGTTTTCCTGGGCTATAGCTGACATGTCACAGAATTTGCCCATTTTTAAGTATACAATTTAGTAATTTTTTTAGTAAATTTACAAAGTTCACAACTTTGTAAATTTTTGAATATATCCTTTACCAGTCCAATTTTTGAATATGTCCTTTACCACAAAGATTCTTCGTGGCCATTTGCACTCACTCCCTGTTCCCATCCCTAATCCCAATCAACCACTAATCTATTCTCTCCATATATTGATTTGCTTTTTCTGAAAAAGTTCATATAAAGGGAATGATAATATTTGGTCTTTTGTGTCTGGCTTCTTTCACGTGACATATTTTTAAGGTTCATTCATACATGTTAGAACTTTGTTCCTTTTTTTTAGGGCATTTTAAATTGACATTTTAATATGCAAAGCCCTCCTAGAAAACAATTTAGCAATATGTACAGACAGCTTTAAAGATTTCATAGTCTTTGACCTAGTAATCTACTTTAGGAGTGAATTCTAAGGTAATTGAAATTATACAAAGATGTATATACAAAGTGTTCATTATAGTATTATTTAATGTCAGAAAAAAGAGAGATCCTAAACAATGAATTAGGGAATGTTTAAATTATCCTTTCAGTGTTTCATTACATAGCCACTAATATTCATGGTTTTGAAGAATTCTTATTGGATGGAGAAGGGCTCAAAAGCTCAGTGAAACCAGGGATGTTACATAATTGAACAAATACCGTATTTTCAGTTATGTAAAAAATGTTATCTGTAGAAAAAGGAATAAAGTTTGCATTTTATCAGTAATTATCTCAGGATGATGGGATTAATTACTGATTTTTAAATTTTTTTCTTCTTTGCTTGATATTTTCCAAATGCTGTGCCATGTCAAGTTGTCAAATTGACATCCTTCAATAACCTAATTTTACTCCTAGACCAGACCACCTGAATCTGGGATCCAAGGGAACACATAGGGAATTGGGAGAAGGGTAAGGGTGGGAACCATTAGAACATTTGATCTAAGTTTTGATGCTTGGATTAAGCTGTACTTTTTATGTTTTGTTTTACTTAAATAAAACAGAAGTTGTTTTATAATTATAGAATCCCTCACCTTTTTTAAAGGACTCTATGTCAAACCTGCTAAGTCGAATTTTATATGTGTTGTGTTTTTCTAGTATCTTTTCAGAGTGAATAGACTTGTATTTGGCTGATTGGTAGCTGTCATTTTATAGGATTTGTTTTTCTTTCAGAATTATAGTCATGTTGTAGCCCTTAATGTTATTAAAGTTTCCTCTAGTGTTATTTATATAGTAAAACCTGTAAGTACTATATTATTTCAAAGAAACCAAAACTGCAGTCTAGTTGTAAATGTTTTCATTTTTTTTTAATTTCACTTTCATTTGCTTCAAATTGTTTTAGAACTTGAGACAACAGATTCTTGAATTGTTGGGCCCCATTTCAATGAATCATGGTGTTCACTTTATGGCTGCCATTGCATTTGTGTGGAATGAAAGAAGACAGAATAAAACCACCACCAGGACCAAGGTATGTATTTAGACATTTGGCACTTTTTGTTTCTGCATTTGGTGAGTACATGCTAATTTTCACTTCTCCATATATTGCAGTGGTACTGGGGTAGATTGGAGTGTAAAGCAAAAGTTTGTTGACAGGTTTAGATAAATTGTTGCCTTAATTTCTTTAAGTATTGATTAAAATTTGAGGTCAAGGCTAGGTGCAGTGGCTCACACCTGTAATCCCAGCACTTTGGGAGGCTGAGGCAGGCAGATCATGAGGTCAGGAGATCCAGACCAGCCTGGCCAACACAGTGAAACCCCATCTCTACTAAAAATACAAAAATTAGCTGGTCATGGTGGCACACGCCTGTAGTCCCAGCTACTTGGGAGGCTGAGGCAGGAGAATCGCTTAAACCCAGAAGGCGGAAGTTGTGGTGAGCCGAGATCACGTCACTGCACTCCAGCCTGGGCAACAAAGTGAGACTCTGTCTCAAAAAATAAGTAAATAAAGATAAAAATAAAATTTGAGGTCAAATATAAAAGATATTACGTGGAAATGAAAGGAAATTAGTATGATATTAAAACTAAATAGAAATGGTAATATGGTACAGTATATTTTTTAAGTGCTAGTCATTTAGGGTCCAAAGCAAGGATATGGAGAAAAATTTTCATCTTGACTGTAGTTTATTATGATATGATAGTTCAAAGAGTTCTTGTCTCTAAATATAATTTACAAATTTTTTTTTCTACTTTTTTTCATAGAGATGAGGTCTCACTTTGCTGTTGGTCTTAGCTGAGTTATATATGTGAATTTTGTTGCTTTCTGAGTTTCAAAGCTCAAGAGAAATGCTCTATATTGAAAATGAATCACGGTACATTACAATAGTAAGGCTACTGTATAACTTACATTTATATAAAAAATATGATTTTTTTCCACCTAACAATTCCTGATTTATTTTTGTGCTTTTACATTTTTAAAGTAATCAAAATAAACATTCACACCATATTACATTATTTTGCATGTGAAGATTCAGTAGTAGATAGCACTCACATTGAAAATTTAAATCCTGTACTACTTAGAAGCAGTAAAGAACATTTGATTTAACATGGCATGTTGAAGCCAGGCACAGTGGCTCATAGCTACAATCCTAGCACTTTGGGAGACCAAGGTGGGAGGATTGCTTGAGGCCAAGAATTCAAGACCTCATGAGACCCTGTCTCTACAAAATATAAAAATAGTGAAGTATGGTGGCATGTGCCTGTAGACCTAGTTACTCATGAGGCTGAGGCAGGAGGATTATCAGGTATATTATAGCTGATAATATGTAATTCACATAGAGCAATGCCTAGCACTTAATAATCACTGTGTAAATATTAGCTATATTATTATTCCTCATATTTAAATAGAGAGCCAAGGATTATCGGTCACATAAAGTCTCTAATGTGATAGACAGACTGAAACAACTAGATTTTTAAAAGTCAAACAATGCAGATAACAGAAGAAAATGTAAATAATAATAATGTCCTTCAGTGGGTGAGACCATGAGGTAGAAAGGGAGAGTACAGGAAAGACCATTCCAAAAATTAAAATTTTCCATGGATATTAAAAATTCTACAGCAGAAACAAAGCAGTATTTTTAGGAGGGTTGGAACAGAAAGTGGATAAATACCAGAAATGGAATACAAATTTAAAGATATGGAAAACAGGAGAAAAGAGATAAGAATATTAGAGAAGTGATACTAGAGACCCAGTATCTTTCTGCAGAATTTAAAAACAAGAGGAGAAAAATACAAAGAAATAATACAATAAAATTCCTCAGGAATGAAATAAATACGTTTCCAGATTGTGCGTAGCACTGTGAAAAGAGATCTGCACAAAGATTAGCATGTAATTTCTGAACACTGGAGATAAAGAAGAGATCCTAAAATCTTCTGAAGAAAGAATACTGGTCACATTCAAAAGAATAAAGATGAGATTTGTTAACAGCAACACTGGAAATTTTGATGGGAAAGTAGTTTCAATCCATAATTCTATCTCCAGCCAAACTGTCACTCAGAACATTTTCAGCTATGCAATGTCTCAACAACAACAGCAGCAAGGAAAATTACTATCAGTTCACTTTTTCGCAGCTACTGGAAGATGTAAGTCCACCAGAGGAGGAATAAACCAAGAATGAAGAAGACAGGAGATCCAAGAAACAGGGGTTCCAACACAAAAGAGAGAGCAAGGGGAATCTCTGAGATAATGGTAACAGGAGAGATATCAAGATGACACTGTGTAGCAAACCTAGAGAGTATCAACCCAGGGTAGAATAAAAAGACATCTAACAGAAATGTCTCAAGGAAAAAAGAGAGGGAGGAAAAGATACAAATTAATTACCTGAAGTATTTGAATATGTAATTAGAGATTTACAGTTGAAGTATTTAGGGATGAATTTTTAATAGGTGCAGAGAAAATGAAGCAAACAAAGCAATTAGCTCCAGGAAAAACAAAAAATTGTACCGTAAAACAAATACAATGCTAGTACAATACACAATGCAACCACAAATAATCATGTGAACATTAGATATGGATTTAAATAAAAATACGGTACAACAGTGTTGGCAGGATAGGTAGAAAAGTGTAAGAGTGAGCTACATCTTTGTCTTCCAAAATAATGAACAGATAATGTGTAAAAGAAAATCAGGAAATAGGAAAAATAGTACTGTATGTTATTTAGACAAAATGAAAACTTAAGGAGTTGAGCATGGTTGCTTTGGGACATGGGAAGAGATATAGGACAATACTATTTTTTTTTTTAATAAAGCTTATTGTTCTGTTTTATTTTTTGAGGTGATGAACATGTATTGATTAGAAAAAAATAAATTTTGAGCCTGAGCAACATAGGGAGACCCTGTCTCCACAAAAAATTAAAAAATTATCTGGGCATAGTGGCATGCCTGTGGTCTCAGCTACTCAGGAGGCTGAAGCAAGAGGATCGCTTAAACCTATGAGGTTGAGGCTGCAGTAAACTGTAATTGAGCCACTGCACGCCAGCCTTAGAGACAGAGCAAAACCCCATCTCAAAAAAATATATATATATACACATATAAAATAAAAGTAAAATTTGCCTAAAGTAGTCAAGGGACTTGAAGAGGTCTTTAATAAAGGGACTTAAATAGAGGCCAGGGCTGTGTGCGGTGGCTCATGCCTGTAATCCTAGCACTTTGGGGGGGCCAAGGCACCAGGATCACTTTGAGCACAGGAGTTTGAGACAAGGCTGAGCAAAATAGCAAGAGCTCATCTCTATAAAATCTAAAAAAAGAAGAGGTCATAAAATACTCTCTTAATTCTGTAACTTCCCCTAAAAGACTTATATACACACATACATACATAAATACAATGATTTATTACCTAGGTCATTCCTGCAGCCAGTGAAGAACAGCTTTTATTAGTGGAATTGGTTCGTTCAATCAGTGTCATGAGAGCAGAAACTGTTATCCAGACTGTAAAAGAAGTTTTAAAGCAGCCACCAGCCATAGCCAAGGACAAGGTAAGAAAAAACTCTTCTTCACATGTGTTTACAATTCTGTTTCAGAAATTATGCTGGTAAGATTTTTTTTTGTACAATAATGTCCTTTCAATATAGTACAGATTGCAGAGATGACTGCATGTGGCCCTCACACTGCTTCAATCAAAACAATTATCAATATTTGTAGTGACTTGCTATTCTGATTATTCAGTAGCCAGTGAAGAGCAGTTAACTGCTCATATCTTCATATGTTCCTCAAAGGCAGTCAGGGACCATGTGACTAAATTCTCAGGGGACATTTTTCTGGTCACTTAAAGAACATAAGCCAGAGCTCAAGATTTGCTTCTCTCAGTTGTTGCCATTTTTCACAGCTTCCTTATTGCTTGCTTTTCTGAATGAATTCTCTTAACTCTGTGAACTCCCCAGATTTTGCTGTAACCTTAGTTCTAGTCAATGTCATTTCTTGACCATGTGTAATACTGTGCTATGCAAGGGCCACACTATGAATGACATAGTCTCTGCACACACATTGCTTTGTCTCCAGGCAAAAATGAAAGTCTACAAATTAGGAATATTACGGACTTTTCTACTTTTTCTGCTCTTTGTTCAAGCAATACCAAGAGGTCGTATTTTCTCAGAAAGTATTTACCAGCTGCAAACTTTAGACTTTGAGCCAAGCCAAAATAGACCTAATCATATCCTTTAAAGAATTATGACATATATCTGAAAATGCTGAATTATGGTTTCCTTTTATCTTGAGTTTCCAAAGGGAGTAAGATGTGTGTGAATAGTCAGTGTCCTTATTAAGCTTCTAATAAAAACTGGGGCATTTGTCATAGGATTTTTAGTTTGTGTTTAGAGTACCTATTTGTGCCAGACATTGAGCTACACATGAGGGATATGAAAACAAATTAGAGCCAATCCACCATCCTGTGCCACCAACCTGTGTCCCCTTATTAAGTTCTGAATCTATTAGACACTTGATTTTTCTTTGTGTGGTAAAACGGGAAACCTTCAAGGAAATAGTTGGGACTAAAAAAGCACAAATTGATAAACGTCAGTGCTCATCAATATCATTCTCCGGCCTCTCATTAATTTCCAAGGGCAGGTGTTTTATTTTTATTATATATTACACTCAACACTATCTTTAATTTAGTGGCTATATTTAAAGCTCTTAGGAATTGATCACAAATTTGAACTACACTAATTGAACAGATATGTGTAATAAGACTTAAATACGCATTTCATTAAAAATCTCAATTCTAATAGCACCAAGCATAAGCTACCTAAAATAGTGTTGATACTTACAGAGTACATTAATCATTTAAAAGTGAGTGGTGGACTGTCAACTTCTGATATATGGAAGGAAAAATTGACAGTCTTTCCATTCCTTCCATCTATTTTCAACTTTTAAAATAGCTCTTGTGTTATGAATTTTTCCTCCTAAGTGGAAGAGAGCTGCATGGCTCATTAATGAAAAATTTATGATTTTGTTCTTTTAATTTTTTAAATTAAAAATTGGCAGTAAGATACAAAGTTGCAACAATGAAAAAGAAAAGGCAGCATTCTTCACTATAAAATTGATTTCTTTTATTTATAGAAACATCTTTCTTTGGAAGTCTGCATGCTTCAGTTTTTCTATGCTTATATTCAAAGGTAAGATTACTGATATTGATCTCTCCTTACTATGTTGCTAGAAACAGAAACATTACTTATGGATATATTAACACAAGTAATGAGTATCTTAATGACTCAGCCATGTATATCCTACAAACCTAAAGACCTAAGGATATTGACGATTCCTAGATAGTAAAACACTGAATTGTGATAAAATCATTTAAACATAAATGAAAAGCTGAACCTACTCGAAACTATGCATATTGCAACTGAATCCATTATTTTGATATAGGTGAACATACAGTAATTCATTCTGCTTTTTTAATGTTAGGAATGATTACATGAAATGTCTTCTTATTTTGCATTTTGCATTTAACTGACCTGTGAACAGAAGTTATGATTTGAGTTTTATAACTTCTTACTCAAGAACCTGACTCTTCATCCTCCTTTATAATTCCATTTTATTCACCAAACTCAGCCTCCATTTGTATTCTATGACTAGCATTATAAGATCAGGCTACTGAGTGTATTTAAACTGGTTGTGACCTAGAGCAAGAACTACCTAAAATCTGAACTTACATACAGAGAAGTGTTAGGGTTAGGGTCAGACTGAAACAAAGATAGTCTTCATTAGTTTTACAGGGCAAAGACTAATGTTCAGTTGACAGCCTTCCATAACATGAGGTAGAGACTTAAAAGGTGAAGGAAAAAGAACTAAGAGGGAAATGGAGAGACGGGGCTAGGGAGTGGGTGACTGTGATATCAGTAGTTAAACTGAGAATTACTGCAGTCGTATTTTACTTTTGAGATCCCATGTGACAAATGGGATTTCAACAGAAAAATGTCTAGATTAAGAAACTGCAGGCTAGGCGTGTTGGCTCTCGCCTGTAATCCCAGCACTTTGGGAGGCCGAGGCGGACGGATCACAAAGTCAGGAGATCAAGAGCATACTGGCCAGCGTGGTGAAACCCCGTCTCTACTAAAAATACAAAAATTAGCTGGGCGTGGCGGTGCACGCCTGTGGTCCCAGCTACTCAGGAGGCTGAGGCAGAAGCGAATTGCTTGAACTGGGGAGGTGGAGACTGCAGTGAGCTGAGATCATGCCACTGTACTCCAGCCTGGGCAACAGACCAAGACTCCATCTCAAGAAAAAGAAAAAGAAAAATTGCACTGGGGCCAGATGCAGTGGTTCATGCCCGTAATCCCAACACTAAAGCTTGATCCCAGGAGTTTGAGACCAGCCTGGGCAACATGGTGAAATTCCATCTCTATTTAAAAAAAAAAGAAGAAGAAATTGCATTGATATTTTAACTGTGTTGGTTTACTAATTAATGTTAGTAAAAATGAAGTTTTTAGGAATTTTGTTCTATCATTGTCTATAAAAATTTAGAGAATGTTCCACAAACTATTAGAAAACTATAGTTTATTGTGGCTTTTGTGTAAACTGTATTATCTTGCAGAATTCCAGTGCCCAATTTAGTGGATAGCTGGGCGTCACTGTTGATACTTCTGAAAGACTCTATACAACTGAGTCTTCCAGCTCCAGGGCAGTTTCTTATACTTGGGTAAGCAATTTCACTTAAATATATTATTTCAAATAAAAGGATAATGTTAATTGTCCTAGTTGCCAAGAATTAATAACAGATGTTTTAGGTGACAGTGATCTCTCTGCCTTCTCATAGTATTCTTGAGATGCAAAACTAGATGTATAAGGCCTGTTTAAGAAAAATAAAGTGGGAGGCAGGGTGAGAGGATGAAACAGTCTATGTTTATACATATACACAATGTAAGTACACTAACATAAAACTGTTACAACAGTAGCTGTTCTGTGGTGGTGGAGAGTGTGGGATGGAAAGGGGAGGGGGTGATGTAGCATGGCTGAAGGGGAACTTCATAGAGGAGGGACACCTGAGCTGGGCCCCAAACCTAAACAGGCTGGGAAAATTTTTCTCTCTGTGTCTTAGAGTTTCCTGCTTTATCTTAATGATTTATATGATTATTTGATAAATGTTAGTCACCCATGACTGCAAGTACTGGAATGTCATAGACAGTCTCAGTTTTTTGCTTGCCATTATTCTTGATTCCTAATAGGTCCCCAGTAAATACCTGATAAGTGGATAGAGGTGGTGGGCACAGAAAGCCTTTGTGAAACAGGAATGGGAAGGGTATTCTGGGGCAAAGTACATTCTCTGGTTTGGTAATAGAGCAAGGCACAGGCAGTGGTATAGTGGAAAATAAGGCTGGGTGAAAAGGGAGATGGGAGCTAGATGGGGCAGGATCTTGAATTTTATTTTAAAGAATATGGTCTTGAAAGGGAGTTGGAGAGGTTGCAGGTTTTTGAGGAGAGACACGATTGGCATGTTAGTAGTAGGCTAGATCAGAGGGGAAAGAGGCTAGACTAGGAATTCTGTTTCAAGTGGGAAGTGTGGGGATGGTTTCAACTATTGATGGGATTGAAAGAACAGGATGAAGAAGGAGAAGAGGGCAGCAAAGGAGATAGAAAGGGAAGTATCAAAAAGTTAGAAGAAAACCAGGCATTTAATTGTTCCAGAACCAAAGGGAGGTTAAGAGGGCATGGTTAACACCTTCAGAGAGGTTAAGGAAGGTGAGGAATAATAAAAGGCTATGTTTGTTGACAATCTGGACAGGCATCCTGATTATCTAATCACCAATGATCTGATGATTTAGGAGAGAGGGTTTGTAGAGGTAGAAGCACAGATGTGTTAACAGCAAATGCTTAGTGTGGGAAAGTAAATGTTGATTGTTCTTTGAGGATATTCGATCATGAAAAGAAAGAAAGAAGCCACGTGCGGTGGCTCATGCCTGCAATTCCAGCACGTTGGGATGCTGAAGCAAGAGGGTTGCTTGAGCCTGGGAGTTCAAGACCAGCCTAGGCAACATAGGGAGACCTTGTCTCTACAAAACATTTAAAAATTAGCCAGGCGTGGTCACACGTGCCTGTAGTCCCAGCTACACAGGAGTTGTCATAAGGTTCAGAGAGGGAATGTATGTACAGTTGTTGGAATCATCACTAATAACACTGCTGGCTAATTTCATCAAAAAATTAAGTTCATTTGTTATGATCTGTAGCTGTTCCCCTCCAATATTTTACTGTTTCCTCACATGCCTTTTCTTCCTTTCAGAATGAAGGATCCTCTTCTTTTTCAACATGTGCATATTCTGAATGTTAAAACTAAAAGTTGGAAGTTGAACATTTTCAGTTATACTAGAAACTCAATTCCCTTTTAAAATTTGTCAATTTACCTTTTTGCCAACCATTGTACTGATCCTCTAAAATTACCTGATTAAAAAATAGAAGTTGATGAAGGTTGCTCTTTAGTTTCATTTTACATATTAGTTTGGAAGTAATTGTGCATATATTTTATCTTTTAAAAAATCATGTCAGAGTGAATATTGAGTAGACTCTTAGCAAATAATGAAAATGGAAATTTTTTTCTTCATGGACTATTTTTAATGTGTTATGGTAAGAAATCGTTTCTAGGTTACAATTTAGGATTTTTTAAACTTTTCTGTTTATATATAAAACACATATCGAAAAATATACAAATAGTACACAACTCTACAAATGCAAAGTTTGTAAAAAGCAGGCATACCACTATATCATTACAAACCTAAATTAAGAAACAAAACACCGTATGTCCCTCCGCACCTCTCCCAGTTACTATTCTTTTCTTTCCCCAAATGTAACCACTAGTCTAACACCAAAGATGGATTTCGCCTTGTTTTTGAACTATAAGTATATATAAATATTTTGTGTCTGGCTTCTTTTGTTCAACATAATGTTTATGAGATTCATTCATGTAATTATAATATCTGTAATTTATTTTCATTGTTGTTTAGTGTTTGAGCATTCTGCAATTTGTTTTTCTTTGATATGGGATCTTGCCATCTTGCCAGGTTTCCCAGGCCAGAGTGCAGTGGTTATTCACAGCATGATCATAGCACACTGCAGCCTTGGCCTCAAGCAATTATCGTGCCTTAGCCTACCAAGTAGCTGGAACTACAGGCATGCACCACCATGCCTGGCCGCATTCCACAATTTATCTTTTCTGCCCTTGCTGGACATTTGGGTTCCTTCCACTTTAGGGCTCTTACAAATAATACTGCTTTGAGCATCCTTATACAGTGTCTTTTAATGAATATGTTTATGAATTTCAGTTGAGTCATAGGATATATACATATATTAAATATTTAAAATGGAAATCAAGAGCATTAAGCCACTTATGGTGAGAAATTAGATCACATTAGTTTCTTTTAGACTGATATTTCCCATTTCTGTTTTCTCTTTGTCCCTTTTAGGGTTCTGAATGAGTTTATTATGAAAAACCCTAGTTTGGAAAATAAAAAAGACCAAAGAGACCTTCAGGTAAGGCAGTCTGAGTTAAGAGCTATTGTCAAAAGTGTTTCTCAGTGCACTCAATTTGAAAATGAAAGAGTCAAGATAAACTGAAGTTTCTGTCAACTCTGAACATTCTATGGGAATCAGTAATGTCTATTGTAAAATATCTATGATCAGAAATATAAACTACAGAAGTTCATAACTAGTGTGCATGTGTGTACATATGTAGTTCTTATTTTTTTAGGATGTAACTCACAAAATAGTGGATGCAATTGGTGTAATTGCTGGTTCTTCTCTGGAACAAACAACGTGGCTGCGACGAAATCTTGAAGTTAAGCCTTCTCCCAAAATAATGGTAGATGGAACCAATTTGGAATCTGATGTTGAAGGTATTCATTTAGGTTTATTATCTGTAAGCAGGCATATATTTACTAAGAAATCATTTTGCCTAGCACTATAAGTACCACAAATTTATCCCTTTTCTCGTGTATATCAAATAACTTTTTTTCAGTGGGAATTATATATACACGCACATATATACGCGTATATATACACACACACACACACATAAACTTTGTTTTCAGTGGGAACTAGCCATATCTTTAATTTTCTCTTATTTATAGATATGTTATCACCTGCAATGGAAACCGCAAACATAACTCCTTCTGTATATAGTGTCCATGCATTGACATTACTCTCTGAGGTAAATATTAAGCTTTTTCACATGAACTCTCAAGTAGACTGTTTCATTATTAAAAATTAGCAAGTAATTTTTATAGAGAAATTTATAATTTGAGAAACTATTTTGTGCTTCTAGAAATCACTATATAGAATTAACAAATACAAAGTTCTGGCCTTTTATGTATTTGGATTATTTAGTTTGCCAAACGTTAGTGATAAATTTAGATATTGCTCCCCTTCTCCATGTCCTTTTTTTTTTTTTTTTTTTTTTTTGAGATGAAGTTTCACTTTTGTTGCCCAGGCTGGAGTGAAGTGGTGTGATCTCGGCTCACTGCAACCTCCGCCTCCCAGGCTCAAGCTATTCTCCTGCCTCAGCCTCCTAAGTAGTTGAGACTACGGGTGTGCACCACCACACCCAGCTAATTTTTGTATTTTTAGGAGAGACAGGGTTTCACCAAGTTGGCCAGGCTGGTCTCGAACTCCTGACCTCAGGTGATCTGCCCACCTCGGCTTCCTAAAGTGCTGAGGTTACAGGCATGAGCCACCGCGCCCAGCATGGGGAGAAGTGAAGGTGATCTAAAGCCTGCCACTATAATGTATTTTACAATTTACCAAACATTTCTATGTACATTGTCTGACAGGCTCTTTTTTATATCCTATTATACACGTGCCATTTTGTTTCCTCTTTGCAGATGTGGATAGTGACCTTTACAAGATCCGAACGATAGGACTATGGCCAAATAGCTGTTAATTGACAGTTTTGGAATTTGAACAGTCCAGTTAAATTGTTTGGTTTTTTTTTCTAAACTACATTTTAGCTGAGTTAGGGATAAAAGAATACTGTAGTTTCTAGTACTAAATTCACTGTTTACTCACTGTCACAGAAGGTTCTTGAACTCTTTTCTTTTTTGTACTTCCCTATCTCAGTTGGAAATGGCAAGATTTGCCCGTATTTATATCCTATAGTAACAATGTACAAAAAACCAGATGGTGGAAAAACTTATTAACATAAAAATGATTCAGGAAGATTTAATTTTAGATTTTTCTAATTTTAAGTAGTCTAGGTTTTCTAACAAACTGAAAATCAGTACCTTGGGATGACGTCAGTTTCACCTCATGTGTTACTCTTCATTTTTTGTTTTTATAGGTTTTGGCTCATCTTTTGGATATGGTTTTCTATAGTGATGAAAAGGAGCGGGTTATTCCTTTACTTGTAAATATTATGCATTATGTTGTGCCCTACCTCAGAAATCACAGGTACTATTATTATTTAAATAGTTTTTTTAATTAATTCATCGCCTGCTAGAAACAAGTTCTGTTCCCTTATTGCCATTTCTAGAATTATTACAAAATGACATTTTTACCTTGAATTATAATTATTTTTTAAAAATGCATATAATATTTTTCTTATGGTGCTTTTTATTTCATATTTTCATGTCACTGTCTTAGGCAAATGTGAACATTTATGTATAACTTGATAGGATGATTAAAGTTAGGACATATAGGTTAAGGTGGTTTTTCTTCCTTGTAGTGCACATAATGCCCCTAGTTATCGAGCTTGTGTCCAGCTGCTCAGCAGTCTTAGTGGGTATCAGTACACACGGAGAGCTTGGAAAAAAGAAGCTTTTGACCTCTTTATGGATCCCAGTTTCTTTCAGATGGATGCCTCTTGTGTTAATCAGTAAGTTGTCCTCTTGTTTGTATTCAGTATGATAATGCACCTCACAGTCTGTTGACATCAGCTACTCCCCTGGAAAGTTAGAATACTGTTCTTTAACAGTAACAACATAATCTTAATTACATGTAATCCTTATCTCTTTCAGTTGGAGAGCAATTATGGACAATCTGATGACACATGATAAAACAACATTTAGAGATTTGATGAGTGAGTATTATGGAATGACAATCCAAGTTCTTTCCTGTACATGATTCCTTCTTTCTGTTTACTTTTACTCTTTTCTGGAGACTAGGAGACTACTGAATGAGCTCTTTGTCAAGGGTCGGTGGGGATATATGCTCTAGAGAAAGCACACTACTTTCTATATGCTATGGGAATATAATCTTAAAATTTACAGAGGACAACTTAAGTGATAATAAGTAAAACTATTTGTCCTTTTGCAGCTACTAGTGGAAGGAAGGGGCCATGTCTAATTATTTCCTCATCACACAGCATCATACCCAGCACATAATAGCACTCAATAAATAATTATTCAGTGAATGAAAAACTGACAGATGGTGAAGTGAAAAAGGCAGGCAGTTGAATCCACCTTATCAGACAAGTCACTTTAAATATCTGGGGCTCTGTTTATTTCATCTGAAGGAAGAAAGAGGGGTGCCAAGAAGGGCAGAATCACCCCCCACCCCCTCTTTCTACTCTTATCTTGATTCGTTTTATAGTTTAGGATTCCATTTAGAATTTCATCTGAAAAAAAGAGTTTTAAAAAACGTTTGAAAGTTATCAAACTTAAATAGCAGTGACATTGTATGATTCTGTAGTATTTTTTAACAAATTCTTTAGCCAAAGCTACAGTTTTCTCATTTGGAAAAAGGGCAGAATATCTGTTTTATCTTCATAGGATTGTTTTAAGGTTCAGATTTATCCATTCAACAAATGTTTATTAAAAGACAACAGTGGGCCCCTCATTGCACTAACCTTAATCAAATTTTAAAAGTTGTGAAGGAAATAGGGCAATGTGTGATGGATTTTAAATAACAGCTAAACAGCTCATATACAAGGTAAAACTAAAGAAGCCAACCATGAGAAGGCCTAGGGTCAAAATATTCCAGAAATAGGGAACAAAAATTACAAAGGTTGGCTGGGTGCAGTGGCTCACACCTGTAATCCTAGCACTTTGACAGGCCAAGGCAGTAGAATTGTTTGAGGCCAGGAGTTTGAGACCAACCTGGACAAAATAGCAAGACCCCAGCTCTACAAAAAAAAATTTTTAATTGGCCAAATGTGGTATGTACCTGTAGTCTTAGCTACTCAGGAGGCAGGAGGATTGCTTGAGCCCAGATGGTTGAGGCTGCAGTGAGCCATGATTGTGCCCACTGCACTTCAGCCTGGGTGACAGAGCAAGATACCATCTCGAAGAAAAATACAAATAAATTGCAAAAGTCTTGGGATGCAAGCACACTTGGTGCATTGAGGGAATGACAAACAAGACAATGTGGCTACAACAGAATGAGTCGAGGGTGAGTAATGACTTGAGGAAGGAGAGGTACGTAGGCAAGGCTATACCAGAAAGTATTTTTAAAGTAACAAGAAGGATTTAAGCAGATGGCCTCAAATATTAAAGGGTTTCCTCAGGGTTTTATATAAATGGTATTATTAGTGGTTTTACCCTCGAAAACCTACAGTTCTAAATTTTCCCCTCTCCATCAAAACTCCTACCATTTTGGTCCTCTGGCTTACGTATGCTGGATCTGTTTGCCAACCTGTCTGCCCCAGAGAGGGGCATCAAGTTTTGTACCCCAAGCTCCTCTCAGTTTTGGATGTCATAGAGCATATAGCTATTTTTTAAAACAACAGAATAATCTTTCTTCAAATGACAGTGTCACAGTCTCTTTCACTTGCTTTTTCAGCACGCGTAGCAGTGGCTCAAAGCAGTTCACTTAATCTCTTTGCAAACCGTGATGTGGAGCTAGAACAGAGAGCCATGCTTCTTAAAAGATTAGCATTTGCTATTTTTAGCAGTGAAATTGACCAGTACCAGAAATATCTTCCAGATATACAAGGTAAAAAATGAAAAACCCTTTGTCTTCTCTAACTATAGGATTTTGGTTCCTTAGAAAATACTTCTCTAAATTCTAAGTTGGGGTAAGATATATCAAGTGTAGATCAATTGGGAATTAGAAATTTTCCTACTGAAACAACGAAAATTATCAATGCCAGCATCTAAAATAAATCATCACTGAGTTGTAGGACTTGCCTAAATGTGGTCTCTATTTTATTGTTTAGTTCAAATTTCTTAGGAATTCATGTTTGAAGATGAGGTATAAGATGATTTTGCTGCAGGCAGGCATGTTAGCATGTTCTCCTTGTGGACAAGAATTTGTGTACTCTGAAAAGACCAAAATATAAGGCAAAGCCAGGAAATTGTGGCTAGAAGTAACACCTGGAGATCTGTAATTTGGGGACTGCAAGGGGGATTATGTAATATTTTCGGTAACTTCATTAAGCGGGTTTGGTGACCTTCTGTGTCCAGAAGGTTATCAGTACACACATCATCACCCTGTACCACCAAATAGCTCCACAATGAGGATTTATCCAGAACAGAATTATTTGCTGCTCGAGTCAGCGTACTCTAAAGCCTCTAGCCTTAGGAGCCAACATGGGAACATGATAGTTGTCACTCTCTAGGGAGAATTTTCTTTTCTCCCAGAAGACAAATGATTCCTAATTTCAGATATACAAAATGTACACTATTTGTCCCTATAATTTTTTTTTTGTTTAAGTTGACTAGATCAGTGCTACTTAAAGTATGGTCCATGGACCAGTAACCAGTCTGTTATCCCATCCGTAAGTACAAAAATTTAGAGTAAACATTTTAAACTTTGATTTGCTATTTGACAGAATCTGCTTAATAAGAAAATGACATTTGTATTCTATGTATCTTTGTTTAATTGGAGTTTTCTTATTCATTATTTTATGAAAATATCTCCAACAGTTTGGAATTTTGTTTAAGTTTATCCTTTACTACAGATAGTTTGAGAGTACTGGACCAGATGATATAGAAAGTTTTATGTGATAAAGATTATTTAGTTACTGAAAATGCTCTGCATTTCTTTCAGAGAGATTGGTTGAGAGTCTCCGTTTGCCACAGGTGCCAACTCTCCATTCTCAAGTGTTCCTGTTTTTCAGAGTATTACTTTTAAGAATGTCTCCCCAACATCTTACCTCACTCTGGCCTACCATGATTACAGAACTTGTGAGTTAATTTTAATTCGGTCAGGTTATAAATCTAAATGATAAAACAGTGATTAGTTTCCATGTGCTTACTAGACACAACAAATATTGGGAGAGAATTGAGCTGTAGTTAAACCAGTTACTGATACTTTTTTACAGTTGAAAATAGTAAAACAAGTCCGATTCCATTTCCATACAGCTTAAATTTACAAATAGGCAACACAGATGGATGGCCAGCTCCTTGTGAATGATTACTTTCTTGGATCTGGTTCAGTGTTTAGTCTGTACTACACTACATTTTTAACTCTGTCAAGGCCTACCGTCCTGACAATAGCAGCTGGACCTATTTACAATAGCTGTAGCAATACCTCTAGTGATAGAGATGGCCAACTGGATTTAACTGCTCTGACATATGACATATACTCACTCTTGAAGTGCAGCACCTACCCCAGTTAAACTTGCTTCAGAGAGACTTTCACAGGGATTTTGTAACCTATCAAACAGTAAAACCTTCTCAGGTCCCAACTATACCCTTCTGTTCCCCTCCTCAAACCATACCCAGTCATCCTCATCCTCATCTTCATCAGAATGATTTGGGGAGTTAGGAAAGAGGAATGGGTAAAGAAAGGAAAAGGAATCTCTCTCTCTGAAAATCTAGCTTTATAGTTTCCCTGCAAATATAATTGCTTTAATATTTCTTTTATTTTTCCTTTTTTTTTTTTTTTTTTTTTTTTTTTTGCTTTATAGTTTCTGCAAATATAATTGCTTTAATATTTCTTTTATTTTTCCTTTTTTTTTTTTTTTTTTTTTTTTTTTTTTTTTTGAGATGGAGTCTCGCTCTGTCGCCCAGGCTGGAGTGCAGTGGCGCGATCTCAGGTCACTGCAAGCTCCGCCTCCTGGGTTCAGGCCATTCTCCTGCCTCAGCCTCCCAAGTAGGTGGGACTACAGGTGCCTGCCACCATGCCCAGCTAATTTTGTTTTGTATTTTTAGTAGAGATGGGGTTTCAGAGTGTTAGCCAGGATGGTCTCGATCTTCTGACCTTGTGATCCGCCCACCACAGCCTCCCAAAGTGCTGGGATTACAGGCATGAGCCACCACACCTGGCCTATTTTTCCTTTTTTAATAACTGTAACTCTGTTCCATAATCACTAAAAACAAAAGCTCGCCTTCATCTCACTGGATTTCACCAAATGATTAGCAAGCAATTTCACCAAAATTTAGCTCTATGTGGCTAAATTTGCAGTTTTACCTTCAGAAACTAACTATAATTTAAAAGATTCTGAAAACGTATTCTAAAATTTTTGTGTTAATGAAAATACAACTTCAAGATAACTTGAAAGAATTAAATATCCAGTTTAAACATTTAACATTTATTTCACTTATTTCACCATTTTCAGGTACAAGTATTTTTACTGATGGAGCAGGAACTCACTGCTGATGAAGATATTTCACGGTAATATGTAATTTAAATATATTCTTGTCCATTTTTTAATATCCTGAAATTATTCAGAATATTACTCAGCATCTAGGATAATATAGATAGTACTTTTTGAATACTTATTTATTATTATGTAATTGATTACATTTGGATATAATGTAATTTCACTTATTCCTTAAGCACTTTAGATTGGATTAAGCCATCAGCATTCATTGCCTTGGGCCTCTAGACACAAATTTAATTTAAAGCAGTACAGTATTGTTTCAGCTGCATGAGCCAGGCTGGTTTTGGTAAGTCAGATCTGGTCTCTGAAATATTACAATATATAGCCAACTCTGTTATGGTAGGTAACCTGGAACCAGGCTATCCATATGTGCAGATCTTCCAGATGGTCCCAATTTAATGCACTTTTACTCTTTTTAATAGAGGCAGTTTATTAATGTATGACTAAATATAATTTTTTATTTACACAAATTTGTAGATTGAAAAGTTCCTTTAAGACCAAGTTTCTTGAATATATTTTCTTCTTCAGTAGTAGATTTATAAAAAGGATCTCCTGTACTAATAACTGTTTATTATTGTAGAGAACTTTCTCATCTTTGCAGAAACTGAGTAAAGAGGTTTCTTGCTTTCACGGTTTTTATATTTCTTAAATGTAATATAAGTTATGTACTACTTTTTTTTTAGACAGGGCCTCACTCTTTTCACCCAGGCTGGAATGCAGTGGTGTGATCCTGGCTCATTGCAGCCTTGACCTCCCAGGCTGAGGTGATTCTCCCACCTCAGCCTCCCGAGCAGCTGAGACCACAGGTGTGTGCCACCATGCCTGGCTAGTGTTGTTTTTTTTTTTTTTTTTTTTTTTTTTTGGTTTTTTGTTTGTTTGTTTTTTGTATTTTTTGTAGAGACAAGGTTTCATCATGTTGCCCAGGCTGGTCTCAAACTCCTCGGCTCAAAACGTTCCACCCACCTTGGGGTCCCAAAATGCTGGGATTACAGGCATAAGCCACTGCACCCAGTCTATGTACTGTTTTTACATTCTTAAAGAAGAAAAGTGAATTTTTGATTTGAAAATGGTGACATTTCATCATGACCTTGCTTAGCAATTACTGGCACATTTATCTCAGGATGATTATGAAAAACATTAGCTGGCACTTTTAGATATTTCTAGGAATTCCTGTGAGTAAATGGGTCCAGCTGCTGACAGTCTGTCTCCTGCTTACAGGACTTCAGGGCCCTCTGTGGCTGGTCTGGAGACAACGTACACAGGAGGTAATGGCTTCTCTACTTCATATAACAGCCAGCGGTGGTTAAACCTCTATCTCTCTGCTTGCAAATTTTTGGATTTGGCTCTCGCATTGCCCTCTGAAAACCTTCCTCAGTTTCAGATGTAAGTAAAAGCAAGGATATTAAATGGATATTTTTGAAAGTGCATTTGCTTTGGTCACTGACATCTATGACTAATTAAAAAGATTTTTGTGTAAGTTGAAGTATTCATAATTTTTACTAAAATGTAATTATTTTGGCACAGCACAGTTATTGGAAGTAAATGGTCAATGTGGATATATTAACAGACTATTCAGTCAACAGAGTGAGTACCTCCAGATGTGAGACAATGGGGTAGATAACTCACATGCTTCAAGAGTCCAGGGAAGGAGACATACTGATACTATGGTAGCTCATGTATAAGACACACTGAGGCCACATAGCAGAGATCCCTACTAGCTCTGAAGGTCAGAGAAGGCCCTCAGGGGAGTCTTAACCTGAGGTGGTGAAGAATGACAGCTGGGAGAGTGAAGGAAGATAGAGGCAGCTGCAGACGTGATACGTCTGAAGTGTGGAGAGATCAGTATTGCTGGAGCAGAATATTGAGAAGAAGCTGGAAAGGGACTAAACCATGTAAGACCTTGTAAGCTGTGTTAGAGAACTTGGACAGCTAAGGAAAGAAGTGATGTTATTAGGCTTGAATTTTAGAACGCTTATTTTGGCTATGTAGTGTGGAGAATGGACTGGAGATGGGCAAGACTAGAATGAAGGAGGCAGTTTTATCTTAGATGATAATGAATTGAACTGAAAGAAATAGGGGAAAAGTTGATAAAAGTTAATGCTCACAGTGCCTTCTTAAGTGGCAAAAATATTTATGGTTTTTCATATATAAATTTTAAAAATAATGGGCAATCTATGTAACATCAAAATGTAGTTAAGGTAGTATGAGAATTTATCCACGAGATCAAATACGTATTAATTTATAATATTGTGTCTTATTTTTCTTCTGGAATGGAAATAATAGGATAAAGAGTATGCTACTGAGCTTTTTCTGTATTTTATTTGGACATGCTCCAAAATTTGCTATTTTACAAGCTTACTTTTCATTAAATTTAATGGTAAGAACTAGAAATTACTTTTTTAGAGTCTTCTAGTTCCTTTAATTTTCTCTTCTACTTGAAAACCATATATATCTACTTGTTGATGAATTTCAGTTGTTGGGTATCTGTTACACAGATGTTACTCCTAAGGAATTCCAGAAAAGAATACTAAACAGAATTGTAGGAAAGTGGCCAATATTAACCAAGACACTTACCTTCACAAAAGTGATTACTATTCTCAGGTGCTTTTGGAGGGACATTAAATAGTATGCTCATGATACTGACTTTTTATCTTCCATGACAAGAACCAAAATAAGTTTATCCTCTTTACTTGTCAAGATGTTACTACAAAAGGGAAGGAAACATGCCATTATATTAATTAGTTTTTTTAAAAACTTGTATCTTTCAAAAAATAAAAATCTTTAAAGTAGAAAATGTGAAGATTTTCATAATTATCTTGAAAGAGTAATATCTTACCATGATCCATATTTGGAAAGTTCAAAGTATTTCATAAGTTTCCTATATATAAATTTAAAAGTATCCATGTAACTATAAAGTTTGAGAGAGAGCAATGAATTGGCAAAAGATATTTTCAGTGTATATGACAAAAGTCTAAAATGCATAATATATAAAAATAATCTGGTAGAAAAATGGGCCAATGAGCAACACAGTTAATAATTTATAGGATGGTTTCTAAACATAGGAAAAGCTGCTCAGTTGTTCTCCTGAGTTTCCAATTAAAATTATGGATAACCATCAGAATGGTAAAGATCTGAAAGTTGCTTTCCTTTTACTTTTAGTAACAGAAGCATTCTTATTCTTGTTGGAAGTATACACTGATATTGTCCAATTGTTAGAGGTTATATTTACCAAAATTTAAAATATACATTCTCTTTAAGCCTATAATTCTGCTACATCCGAGGATTTATCCTGCCTCTATATTCTCAGATGTGCACAAAAATAAATAAGCATTACATAAGGGTATCCATCATGGCACTTTGTAAGTGCAAGAAATTGGACAATCTAGGACATTGGCTTTGGTGTACTACTATGTTGCTGTTAAAAAGAATGAAGTTTTATATGATGCAGAATTATCTCCAAGATATGAAATTAATATCAAATATATATATATACTACATGTATAACTAAATCAAAACAGTCAGCGATCATGTTTTTTAAAGGAGAGGGTTGTGTGGATATGTACTCTTTTGGGCATAAACTCTCGGGAAGGACTGACGAAGCTGACAATATTGATGGATCCTATGCAGGCAGGGGAGACTGCCTTTCTTTGGTATGCCCATTTATACGGTCTGAATGTTTCCCGTGGTCGGATATTACTTAGGAAAGACAAAATTGTAAAAATTCAACAGAAGTGCAAAGAAAGCCCTACTTTTCTTAAATTCGTTCAGTTTTTTATTCCTTTACTGTGCAACTAGGGAACATTTGACCTAGTTGAAAAATATGTTGAAAAATCAAGTCTTTGTCACACTGTTATGTTACAGTACAGAGATAAGCTAAATGAAAACATGTTCCTTTTAAGAACCTTTTGCCTATTCGCTAATAAGGAAACAAACATTTGTTGAGTACTTGCTTTGTGCTCATGAAAAAAGTAATGATGACTACAAGTTTCGTATTTATTCCTTACAACCTTATGAGGTAGTAGTATCTTTATTTACTGATGAAGGCTCAGAGAGGTTAAGAAACATACCCGAAGTGACAAGGCTACGAGTGGCACATCTGGCATTTGAATTTTTATAAGCAGTGGGGTCATGATCTTTCTACTACATTATGCCACCGAATCTTAGATGGCACAAAGTCTGTCTTTCTGATGCTGATGTCATTATTCTATACATAGGTACCGATGGGCCTTTATTCCAGAAGCCTCAGATGATTCAGGTTTGGAAGTCAGAAGGCAGGGTATACATCAACGAGAATTTAAACCTTACGTGGTACGACTAGCAAAACTTCTTCGGAAAAGAGCAAAGGTATCGCATTCTTTTGTGATTGTTTTGTTTTACATCACTACATGTTGCATTAGTGAGGTATTTATTAAATACTTCCTGGGAAACTGAGAACGTTATCAAGTTGAGCTATTTTGAAAACAAGTCCCTGGTTTTAAGAATTAATGTCCGTAAGCCTCATATTTCCAGACATTAGAAAACATACTGCATGGATTTTAAAGGAATATGCGGTTATTCTTTTTTTCGAAGAGAAGAAAAAGGAAGGGTTTTGTACATTAGTAACATCTACCTTAAAATATTTTCCCCTCAAAAAAGAAAATAAAAACCTTGGAACCATACATGTGAGTACTTCAGACTGTAGTCCTGAACAGTCTTCATGTCAAAAACTTGAGAATGTAATATAATGTTCATCTTAACGCCATGATGAGAAACAAAAGTATGAGTTGATTGAGAAAAATGCAATACAAAAGGGATTTTTAGAACGTGTCAGAGTTGTTTCAACAGAACTAATCAATGGGTAAGAAGATTATACATTTTAAATTTGTAAAATATGAGTCAGATTTCATTGAAATCGAGCTAGAACCTCGCTCAGAATAAAGGAAATAATCATTAGCATTCATTCTGTTTATCTATATGAAATAAAATATATATGCTAAAATTCACTTTCTAAGTATTTTTCACTTTCTGATTATAACCTACATTCAGAAATGCATTCCTTATCCTGATCGAATACAGCTATATAACCGAATCTAAAGTTTCACAAAACAGTTCTTGCCCTTAACATGTGAGATATTTTCCTTTTTGTAGTTCACGGTGATGATGCTAAGTACAGATTGCCAGACCCCCCCCAACCTGCAGTTTTTAAAACAGTGCTCAAAATTAAACTGGCTCTGACTCATTAACATAAAGCATCTTCTTAGAGAAATTATTTAAGGGGAAAAGTGGGAATTTACTTAAAACATAGTATACCATTAAAAAGTGTAGGAAAATAAAATGTGTAAAATATTGTGTCTTATATACTTTTTATCTTTCAGTATGCATCATGCTAATTTATTACAGATCTTTGCCCAAGAACCTACCAGCAATGAAACTGGTATGCTCGCCATTGGGCCTTTGTTATTAACCTTTTGTCAAATTTTCTTTTACATTCAACAAATTTCAAAATCAAATTGCACAATTTGGGAGTCAGCTAGGTTATTTGGTGAGATCTAGTATGCAGTGTGTGCTTTGAGTGCTCAGAAATTTTCCAGTCTTCTGGAGTCCTCCTAATCAGGCAGCAGCTTTTAAACTGAATTCCATTAACTACAGAAATGGAATGAAGAAAGTGATTAAAGAGATTTTGCTGGAAGGAATTTACATGAGAAACTTGACTTAAATTCCTAGTTGCTTCTGTAGGAGCTTAATAAAAGGACAGAGATGAGGATGTAAGCTGGGTCCTGAATTCAGGATAGGACTTTGGTACTTTTCACTTTGATATCTCAGAGTTTGGGCAAGTAATCATGACAAATCCAGAAGCAAATATGACCCCAGGCACATGTCCTTTTCTGTTATGCCTGCATTTCATTAGTAATGAGAATTTTTATAAGACCCCCCTCCTTTAAATAACAAATATGACAGTCTTTTGCCCAAAATTTGTCCCACAGAATAAAAAAACTATTTTGATTGAAAGGCATCTTCCCGTCCAAATCACCTTAAACAAGGTCTTCATGGCCAAGCATACTTTTCACTGGAACAAAGGCTGTGAGTTCTCCTCTTTCCTTCCACAGGACAAGGAGGAGGACTTTAAGACAGTGATTTTGGAGGGATTGGAGATGGCCAAGAATCAGGTGAGGGTGGCTGTTTCATGCTTATGATATGGCAGTAAAAGTTGCCAAATATTGAGACACAAACCCAGGTCTGAATGTCAACAAGTACAAGAGAGGTAAACAGGAAGGAAGTCTTTTTTCAAGCGTAGACTGGTGAAGTCAAAGGAGAAATCATTTGTATGGAAATGTTTGACTTTATTTAATATTGAGACAATACAGATAGTTCTCATTAAGAGCATCAGAAACTCTGAATCAAGTGTATTCTTCTTGGTCAAGAGCGTAGTAAGTCCTTCTCTTAAAGGCTCATCTTGGTAGGAATATAAACAAAAGGTTACCCCATAGTTCTCTTACATTTGGAAGTTTGCTATATAGAGGGTGCAAGGGTATTCATTTCCCTTCATGACAAAGTCATCTCTGTATGCCCTTTATTGCTGAATTGCAGTTTGATTTAGGGGATTAGAGGTGGTATGGTACCAGTAATTGAGTAATGGTGGAAATGTGAAAGTCAGTCACAGGACTCTCATTGGTGCCAGTGTCATAGTTAAGAAAGAAAGATAGTTTTATATATCCTATAATCTAGACTGGAACCTAAATAATTGCTAGGAAGCAAACTTAAGTGATAGCTGTTAAGTTTTTTGGTTTTTGACCAGAGATGATGAAGAAGTAGGTGATCTTTTCTTGGTTTGCTCCTGGACTCTTCCATTTTAACATATATTTTTAGTTTGGTGCAAAAGTAATTGCAGTTTGGGACCATGAATTTTAAATCATTATAACTAGGTTCAAACAAATCTTTATTAAAACAATATAGGAACCATTACAATCAACACATTTTTGCCAATGAGAAATGTTTGTTTATTCCTGTAGCATAACAACCCATGCTTCCAAATATGATGAACTCTTGGAAAGCATTTTCTGCATCCTGCTAGTTGTGGAAGCAGTTTCCCTGCAAAACGTTGCTGAGATGCCTAAAGAAGTGGTAGTTGGTTGGCAAGAGGTCAGGTGAATATGGCAGATAAGGCAAAACTTCATAGCCCAATTAGTTCAACTTTTGAAGCGTTGGTTGTGCGACGTGTGGTCCACTGTTGTGATGGAAAAGAATTGGACCCTTTCTGGTGGTCAATGCCGGCTGCAGGCATTGCAGTTTTTGGGGCATCTCATTGATTTGCTGAGCATACTTATCAGATGTAATGGTTTCACCTGGATTCAGAAAGCTGTAGTGGATCAGACTGGCAGCAGACCACCAAACAATGACGATGACCATTTTTTGGTGCAAGTTTGGCTTCGGGAAGTGCTTTGGAGCTGCTTCTCAGTCCAGCCACTGTGCTGGTCATCACCTGTTTTCGTATAAAGTCCACCTTTTGGCACACGTCACAACCCGATCGAGAAATGGTTCATGATTGTTGCATAGAATAGAGAAGACACTTCAAAATGACGATTTTTAGTATTTTTTCACTCAGCTCATGAGGCACCCATTTCTTGAGCTTTTTCACTTTTCCAATTTGCTTCAAATGCCGAACGACCATAAAATGGTCAACGTTGAGTTCTTGGGCAACTCTTACAGTTATAAGAGGATTAGCTTCAATGATGCTCTCAATTGATCATTATCAATTTCCGATGGCTGGCCACTGCACTCCTCATCTTCAAGGCTCTAGTCTCCTTTGCAAAACTTCTTGAACCATCATGGCACTGTTTCAGCACTGTATGTTCGTCAGCAGTTCCTGGGCCAAATGCATTGTTGATGTTGTGTGTTGTCTCTGCTGCTTTATAACCTATTTTGAACTCAGAAAATCACTCAAATTTGATTTTTTGTCTAACATCATTTCCACGGTCTAAAATAAACAGCAAGTCAGTCATTAGCAAAAAAAAAAGTGAGAAATGTGCTTAAAATGATGTATAACATAACCACATTTATTTAAGAATGTATTCCAATATAAAACTGCAAATTTCAACAGTGCAAAAACTGCAATTACGTTTGCACCAACCTAATTTCCTTTTTCAGGATTTTACTTTAAAATAAGCAACAAGCTTGAGAGCACATAGAAGAAAATAAGCTGGATTTTGTATCTGCTTGACCCACTAAGAAACTAGTGATACTAAATTATTAGGTAAACAATGAAAATTTCTGAGCAACATCTGATCTTAGAAGGCAAACTCCATTTGTTAATATGACAGATTGTAATTCTTCTTCCTAAGTCTTCATGATTTCTTTCTTCTGTCTAGTTCATTGCTTATTTTCATTATCTTTATTTAGTGTGGTATTGTATCTGTGATTCTGCCCAAGTTCAACCAACCTCAGTTCTCTCATATCTTTCTCTAGACAGAATGATGTCTGTAGCTATGTTTGTGTAATTCAGGTGGCTTCTCAAACTACCCTCTTAATACACAAATCATTTGTGTTTATATTTAGTTGGCAGAGTTTTCACATACCTTCTCATTTGACTTCTCTACTAAAAGGTAGTTTAGATTGTCCCATTTTATAAGTGAGGAACCTTTGTGTATCTTGCCCAAGGATGTCATTAAGTATGTCAGAGCCAGCACACTAAACCAATTCCTTTGACTCCAGGTCCAGCTTTCCTCCCTATGTTGTTTAGCACAACCCAGAAGGAGAGAGCAGTGTCTCTCCTGAGGGATACCTTCCTTTCTCTGTGATGCAGTATTGACAGTAATTATTCACTTTGGATACTGCTACCATCATGGCAAATTTAGGCTATCTAGATAAAAGGGAATTAACTATTTATAATAAAAGGATATAAAATGTATAGAGCACTTTGTTCCTTTTTTCTGTAGTCATTTTGTGACCTAGTCCTTGGTTACAGTAGTGAGGGTTCGGAAACCTGGGAGCTTTTTGAGTAAATACAAAGCACAACATAAAACTTTTATGTTTGACTCTATTCCTGTTCAAAGCGATTTCTGTTAACTAAGCTTATCTGTGCATTCTAGTTGGGAATTACTACTACAGTGTTAAGACTGCTCCATATAAAACTAAGAAATGGCAGTAAAAGGTCTCAGAAGCACCAAGGGTTTTGATCAGGTCAGGAGTAGAAACATAATGTCATTTCTATTCATTTCTTGACCAATTGCCAATGTTTATATCTTTTTAATTTTTCTAACCACACTGTCCGTTAATACCAGTTCACTTTTTGTTTTCTGCAGAAAAATCCAGAGGAAGACAACTCAGGGAGAACGTTGGGTTGGGAGCCAGGGCAATTGCTGCTCACCATCTGCACCGTGCGCAGCATGGAGCAGCTCCTGCCGTTCTTCAATGTGCTCAGTCAAGTCTTCAACAGCAAAGTCACAAGCCGATGTGGAGGACACTCAGGGAGTCCTATCCTCTACTCAAACGCCTTCCCTAATAAGGACATGAAACTGGAGAACCACAAACCATGTTCCAGCAAAGCCAGGCAAAAAATAGAAGAGATGGTAGAAAAAGATTTTCTGGAAGGGATGATAAAAACTTGAGCACCACCGGTGGTTCCATTTAACTTATATGTAAACGTAATTATTTAAAACATACACTGCTCTGCATTGTATAGTTTTTCCTTTTTTGTATGTAACAGAACACATTTCAGGTTGTATTTAATTTAAATATTTGTATATAAGAGCAAATGTCTGAATGTGGCCTGAATCAAGTTTAAATATTGTTGGCTCATACTGATTATGGTGCCTAAGAGAGCTATATATATACACACATGTAAAGTCCATTGTTTTTATTGTCCTGAGTTGTCTTAAACCTGCAAAATATACACTACCCATTTTTTTTTTCCATTGGTTTCAGGCTTGGTTTAATTAAGATTGGTTGGGGATTTTTCTCTTTTCCTTAGTAACCATGTTCTGGTATCAGTGTGGTGTTCCTTCTCCATCGGAGGCTGGAAAACTTATTATAATTAGTTTTTTTCCCACATACCTTCACCAAGAGCAGTGAAGAATAACTGAAGGCTGGACCATGCATCCTTATAAGTCTCAGTATGGAAGAGAGATGACAACCCCCTCTTCACACCTCTTGAGTTCCTGATGGCATTAGTCATATAGGTAAGTCATCTAATAATCTTTCTTAAAACTCTGCAATGGAAAAACTAGTTGTATAAAGTCTTCTCTGCCCTCTCCATTTGTATCAGCAATGGGGGATGCTGCAAAACATCATCTTGCTCATGTGATGGTGATGGCAAAGATATCACAAGGAGTTGGTAATAAGATTTAATTTTCCACTAGTCTGCATGAATTGTTCCCCACATAAAACTGTACAGTTAGTGACTGAATTGTATACTTAAGCCCCAGTATTTTACATTAGTGAGCCTGAAATTAGAGGTAAATTTCTTTAACAAGTGTAAGGCTTACCTATTCACAAAGAATTATTCTGGTAGTGTTTAAGAAAAACAGTGAGATCTAGAGACAATCCAGTACGCTGCATTGTAAACATTATGATTATAAATCTCTTAGTAGGGCCATTATTATTGACAGTTTTGTAAAGACTTGTAAAAAGTCCAGTTTCTCAAGATTATGAAAATTATCTTCAGAAACCTAGTTGGGGTCTTTCTCCAATTCCTCCAGCCAGCTGAAATACTGCCAGGCTCACTTCATGTGCAAGGTGATCTGCACTTTCCTGCAAATTACATTAAAAGAGATTAGATGAGAAAGACATAGCATGTGTCTAACATGGGCAAGACCATGTTACTTGGAATTCTGGGGAAGAGAGGGGTGATTCTTGATTTTGTTTCACTAACAAATTCCAATGAAAACCTTTTTTCATCTTTCAGTAACAAATTCCAAGGCCCTTAAATAAATGGAAAACAGATGAAATTCTTCTAAAGGTAAGTTTTTAATCAATTCAGATTATAAAAATAGCTATCATTCCAAAACTGAAAAAAATTCAGTAAAACCTTAGTCCACAATTGGCCTAACAGTAAGTAAGTATTACTGCCTCTGTTGCCATCTCCTCATCCATCACGGATACTCATTAGACTCTAAGACGGCTTAAGCTTCTGGAAGAAAGCTGCCACATGGCTCCCTCCTGATTCCCTATTCAGCTTAGGCTGCCGTGGCTCTGCGGATACTTTAAGGAGTATGTGAAGAGGCCAAATAATAAAAATCCAGACCACAGGGTCTTGACCCCTATCAGGGAAACAGGCACCAGCGTAAAGCTGTCATTTAAAGGAAATATTTTGAAAAACAAATCAAGAGTTCAGAATGCTATCAGTTGACTTAGAAATGAACTATAAAGCTGGTTGTTTTCATAATGTCACAAGATTATATTTTTAAAAGAAAAGGATCATCTACCTTATAGTGCATAACCTAATTATTTATTAGTTATTCCTGCCATGGTTAAAAATATGACACTTTCAGGAAGTCTAGAATAAGTCAAAAATATTTGGGGAAATAAACTGAGTGGGTCTAATTTTGTTCAATTTTATAATTACTGCTGGTGAAAATAATTTTGTAGCTTAATGTGAACCTAAAAGGCTCAACAAAATAAAGCCTAATCATCATACTGAGATTCTAAAAACTATTAAAATAGTTTGCCTCTGTATCACCTAATATTAGGCTCTTTTTCAATAGAACTATCCCAGCTTACTTGTGAGTCTGCTTCTGCATACACTCGGACGACATCTTCTGTACCAGAGGGCCGGACAAAAGCTCGGGAAAGCTTGTACTTCTTCACCAGGTCATTGATTGCCTCCTGTAATCCTGGGGGTGTAACTGCTTGTCTTTCGGCATTGGTAGTGCTAATAACTCTCCTGTCTGCAACCTAAGTGCAAGCGTTTCATATTTGTTACTATATTACACTTCCTTTCAGAAGCTTAACCTGTTAAACATAAATTCTACGAAAAGTGCCAGACTAAATATAAAATTACATTAAAATTTCTTATTTCTCCAAGATCAGGGTAATTAATTTCAACATTTGTACAACTCTTCTTTTTCTTCAATCTATAAAGAATTACCTTTGACAAAAAATATTTCCACAAATGCTTAGAGTTACCACTAAGATAATGGCCAGTAAATACGACATGACTTTAAGACCCATATCACACATAAAAACAGGATAAGTGGTAGCCCATTATATCAGAAGGCCGATAAGAATCTCTTAAAATATGCCAAAAATAATCAGAACAATCAACAGCCATTTCTGTGAACTGTGGCTTTAGTACCTCCAATTGTCTTTCACAAATTCTGTTGGTGAATGTGCAAACTGGCATAAACATGTACAGAAATCAGTGAGCAATTTATCTGAATTCTCTCCCTCAGGAAGTATTCTGTGAACTAAACATAATGCAGAGTAAGTACTTTCACTTGAAATGACAGGGGATCTGAGTTTTGCTTCAAAATAATGTTGGGGCCAGGCGCAGTGGCTCACACCTGTAATCCTAGCACTTTGGGAGGCAAGGGAAAAGGATTACTTGAGCTCAGGAGTTCGAGACCAGCCTGGGCAACACAGTGAGACCTCGTCTCTAAATAAAATACCCAAAAGAGTATTGGGAGGGGGTATGGAGAATGTATAGGGCAATAACTGAAATCTGCCTACACAAAGTTCATTATGTTGTTTCTCTACATTTATATCTGTTTTTAATTCTCCATAATAAAATCTCTTTAAAAATGTGATGCAGTCATTCATATTATTTATTATATAATAAAGTTGGAAACCAAATACTTCTCAAACAATAGAATGTTAAGTAAATGAACTTAGTTACTCTAAAATTTTTTTCAGCTGTAAGATAATACCGTTAGATATCATAAGGCCTTTTTTTTGAGATGGCATCTTACTCTGTCGCCAGGCCGAAGTACAATGGCATGATCGGCTCACTGCAACCTCCACCTCCCGGGTTCAAGTGATTCTCCTGCCTCAGGCTCCTGAGTAGCTGGAACTACAGGTGTGTGCCATCACGCCCAGCTAATTTTTGTATTTTTAGTAGAGACAGGGTTTCACCATGTTGTCCAGGCTGGTCTCAATCCCTTGACCTCATGATCCGCCCACCTTGGCCTCCCAAAGTGCTGCGATTACAGGCATGAGCCACCGCGCCCGGCCCACAAGGCCTTATTTTCCGTGTATCGTGTGTGTACGTATAGAATGAAATAGGAAACATTTGTCAGTGAGACACAGAATTGGGATAATAGGTTTTACTTAGCTAATATTCAAAAAAGTTATTTTAAAGTTTCTCTCACACCTGAACTTTAAGTTGTCTGTTTGGAAGATCTGTATAGAGAGCATCCCACTGTTGCACAGTCAAGCCCTTCAGAGCCAAGATTGCCTCAATCACCAGCATGTCAGAAATAGCATCACCAGCTGCCTGCAAAATGGGGAAACAAATGGAAGAAACCACTTAACAAGCAAATCTTGGAAATGGATGTTTTTCTTAGAAAACCAATCACAGTACAGGTTGAACATCCTTAATCTGAAACATGTTGAGGGCCAAAATAACATCACGAGTGAAAAATTCCACACCTGGCCTTCTGTGATAGGTCAGTCATGTGGGTATACAACTGCCAGGTGTGGTGGCACACACCTGCAGTCCCAGCTACTCAGGAGGCTGAGATGGGATGATTACTTGAAGCTAGGAGTTTGAGGCTGCAGCGTGCTGTGATAATGCCTGTGAACATCCAGTGCACTCCAGCCTAGGCAATACAGCAAGACCTTGTCTCTTAATAAAAAAACAAATGCACTCCTGACCTCACTGTCAGGAATTCAAAACCAGCCTGGCCAACACGGTAAAACTCCATCTCTACTAAAAATATAAAAATTAGCAAGGTGTGGTAGTGGGCACCTGTAATCCCAGCTACTCGGGAAGCTGAGGAAGAACTGCTTGAGCCCAGGAGGCAGAGGTTGCAGTGAGCCAAGACTGCGCCACTACACTCCAGCCTGGGCAATAAAGCAAGACTCCATCTCAAAATAAAACAAAAAAAACCACTAAAGGCAGGCCCACAGTTCATTCAGCATCCCCAAGGGAAAAAGACTCTTGTCAGCCTCCTTCAGCTATGATGTATCATTTCCATGCATGCCAGATATGTATCATATTTTTTACTATTAAATACTTGTGTGTGAATAAGTATAAAAAATGGTTGCTTACTGACAGCATATAAATTCAGAGTCAAGAATGATGGTGATGCCAAACAACCACAGATTGTCCAATGGATGGCTAAGAGTGACACCTTTGCTTTCTGATGGTTCAGTAGACACAAACTTTGTTTCATGCACTAAATTTGCAGTATTCTATAAAACCTTTAATCTTACGTAACATATATGAAACAAAAGAATTTAGTGTTTTCGACTTGAGTGCCACACCCAAGATGTCACATTATATATATGCAAATATCCCAAATCCAGTGAATCTGGAACCCAAAACACTTCTAGTCCCAAGCATTTTGGATAAGAGATACTCAGCCTATATCCTATGCTTTCTCACATGCAGCATGATTAACTGAAGTGTTTTTGTGGATGGATAAATATGAACAATGAGATGGAGATCTCCATGGAAGACAAGGAAAGGTGTAACAAAGAATACTGAAACTAGCTCTTGAGAAACTTGCCTTTAGTACTCCTTATCTATAAAATGAAATTAGACTGGATAACTCTAAGGCTCAGCCTAACATTCCATCACTCATTTTTCTTTATAATTACATCCCTTTTGAGATATTACCCCACAATGATAGAAAGCATCAAGATAAAATGGAGAAATATGAGCTTTGGTATAAGATATAACTGAAGATAGATCTCTGTTTCTTCACTTATAAAAGGGAGTTACAGTAACACCTCTCCCTGTGTTACTGCAAGGATTATACAGTAAGGTATATAAAGTGTCCAATGTGTGCAAGACAGTCAAATAACTGAATCGCTTTCCTCTACCCTGAGTACTGCTTTTCCACTGCCAAACGACACTCCAACCCCAATCCCAACTAACCCACATGTATGTCCTTTGTCAATGAGACAACTAGTTATTTTTTTTTTCTTTTTGAGACGGAGTCTCACTCTGTCGCCCAGGCTGGAATGCAGTGGCACAATCTCGGCTCACTGCAAGCTCTGTCTCCCGGGTTCACGCCATTCTCCTGCCTCAGCCTCCAGAGTAGTTGGGACTACAGGTGCCCGCCACCATGCCCAGCTAATTTTTATTTTTAGTAGAGACGAAATAGTCACCCTGTTAGCCAGGATGGTCTCGATCTCCTCACTTCGTAATCTGCTGCCTCGGTCTCCCAAAGTGCCGGGATTACAGGCATGAGCCACTGCGCCTGGCCTGACAACCAGTTATTTTTACTTAATTTCCTCGAGGTTTGGTTAAAAAAATATATATGTATGTATACACTGAGTAGCTGAATCTGTGATCCTAGGTAGAAGCTACTCAATATACTTGAAATTTTCCATCATAAGATGTAGGGGAAGGAAAGCATATTAAAAAATGTCTGTCATTCCATTTCATTATAAATCTCAACTGAATATACCACTATTGCAAGGAAGCCACCAGGCCAGGACGTCTCTACTTTAATTTTGTATGCACCCACACTCTGTTCTATCCATCTTCTGAATAAAGTAAAGGTAACCAAGAGTCCACTGCCCCATCAGTTCTGACCTGGTTAAACAAGTCAATAATGTTTTCAAGCATCTTAGCAGCTTTTCTTTTCTTATCTTCCAGTTGTTCTGCTGATTGTTTTATCTTCATTTCAACAGCTGTACTAAACAGTGCCTGCAGCAAAAGCATATAAAATCAGTCTCAAAACACTATCCAAAACCTAGTCATAAATACTATTATTCTAGCTAACCCACTTTTCCCTCCTAGTCAATCTGGAGAAACTGAAGGGAAAAATAGTGGCAGCCTTAAAATGTATGAAATTAACGTAAGATCCCATTAAAACCCAGAGGATAGTACTTGGGGAAAAATTTTATTTGTGGATTATATAACTGGCTATAAAAATTTAAACATCTGATTACAAAGAAAACACCACCTTGACAAGAGGCGAACACACACAGTAAGTTCATGTTTTCCCTTCAACCAGCTAAATCATTTCTGTGCAACCAGGTTACTTAGAGCCTGTCTGTATCCTTTATACTTTGAAGGAAATAATTCATTGCGACTAGTACAGTTTTATTCTAAAACTTAAGGGTATGAGCTAGGCAAAATTAAGAGTTCCTAGTATTTATCAAAATATGGCAAATAATATCATGGATAGTCATTACAATATATAATTCATCATGCTCCTCAAGAGTCTTACCTCATTTGAAAATACCTTACCCATCTTTTTTATTGCCTTCTAGAGGCCTAATACTGAGCAAGATTAGCATACTATGCTCAACTACTTGATGAAATACATTTTTCTTGATAAAATAAGGCACAGGCTAGTCACCTGTTTTTGTAAAGTTTTACTGGAACACAACCACACCCATTCATTTAAGCTAGATCAGCAGAGTTGAGCAGCTGTAACAGAGACCTTATGGCCTGAAAATCCAAAAATATTTACTGTCTACCCTTTAGAAAATAATTTACCAACTTCTCCATTAGATCACTAAAGCTATATCTTAATTGCATTTTGCAGGAACTTATTTTTCCCCTTTTTATATTTATGCCCTCCAAAAGCCAATTTAAATTAATGAGGAAAATTATTCGGCTTAGATTCAAATGTTCTGATAGCCACCTCAAGTGCATTCATTAAATGAGGTGAGTATCAAAACATTTTTAAAATATTCTGAACATTATGAATCTACAAAAAACTACTTAACTATACACTTTAAAATGTAATTTTATGTAAAATATAAATTGAAACATTTTATATGCCTATCACTAGTTACCTTAAATTCATTTTCATTTCTTATCAATTATCAACTTTCCAACACTTTGCAATTCACCATAGCGACTTAATTTTTCTTTTCCTCTCCTATGGCCAGCCGAAAAGTGCATAGACAACATGCTTATAACAAAATTAAGAACTGTAAAATTAAAAAAAAAAAACTATTCAAAACACCTTAGTGTATCTCTTCACATTGAAAGAAGAATCATTACCAAGTAAGAGAGTATCACAGTTTCATAATACATCAATATATAAGATAACCAAAGGATCTTTTTGTCATATCCAATTATTTCAACAAAGTACAATATTACCTATTATTACCTCCCAGATACAGAAATCTCATTATAAAGGTGCCACCTAAGGCCAAATGTAATTAAGAGAACTTACAGTGCCATGCCCATTTGCTTCAAAATAAACTCCAATGTCAAACTCTTGAGCCTTGTGGTGCAAATGTTTTACACCAGTCTTAGTGCAATAGACAGGTACCTATAACACATGCATTTAAAGAAATACAGCAATTACTCAGATGTCAAATGTTCCTTGCATACCGAGTATCCCAGAGACACAAAGGGGATCAAAACATACTGGGGCCGAGTCCAGTGAGGAAGACGATTAAGCATTAAAATACAAAATGGTATGTATACAATGGGAGTGTGAACACACTCTGGAAGCACGTGTCCAGGGGTAAAGCACGGTGAGAGAGATGAGGGTCTCCTTATAAGACACGAAAAATTACAAGTGGGGGCATGACATGACCTAACAGTTTCAGAAAGCTGTTTAGCTACAGTGTGCAGAATAGCTTAGAGCAGAATTGCAAGCTTTTTCTG